GATGAAATGATGATATTTTATGTTATATTTGTTGTCAATTAACTGTTGATTTTGTGATCAAATTATAACAATTTTGATTCACTTGTCTTATAAAGTATATCCTTAGGTTTGTAATGATATATAAATGTTAACAATTGTTTAATTATATTGTGATTAAAACTAATTTAAAGTATGCCGTCCCTTATTAAGGCTATCCCCAATTAGGATTATTTACACTATTTGTAAACTAAATCTGTATGATAAATAAACTGTTCAAATGGCAATTATATAAAAAATATATCTATATTTAAGCCATCACTATCATAATACAGTATTATATGTACAATAGTTATACTATTACATGACATTTATGTTTTACTTGACTATAATTATAATGTTAATCGTATAAAACCAAAAATTAATTTAAATGTTATTCATGAAAAATTATTTAATAATATTCATTTGATTTTTGTTTTGTTTCTAAAATAATTTAACCGTTACTAAATAATTTTGTCTTATTTATGTCCATATTTAAAGTAATATATTATAACTTCTTTTTATCCAGGTCAAAACTATGATAAAAATAAGTTTTCAATACATTTATATCAATAAATATATAATAAAGTATAATATTTTTGTAACGTTATAACTTAATTAATTATGTAGTAAWTAATAAAACAAAAATTCAAAATTTGACAAAATTTTTGCTACATTTAGTTCAAATGGTTAAATGCAATTTGAATAGTATATTGAAATATATTAAATCACATGTTTTAAACTTTATAACAGATAATAGAAAAAATAATTTTTTAACATTAATAGGAATATTAATGTAACAATAGTTTATTGTTTTGTTTAATTTATTCAATCCATTAGATATATAATTGCATCAATTCATGCCATTTCGGTGTTAATAACATTTTGGGTGTTATTCCACTTCAATAAATTCTAACCATTCATTCAAAAACATTATTATTTTTTATGAGAAGCCGTAAAATTGAATGAATTCAATAGTAGAGTATAACGAATAGTACTATAGTTTTAACTCATGAAATCTGAAAGAAGTAAAGTATGTTTAAAGTAATAAAATTACAAAAATTAAATTAAATTTATTAAAAGTTTTTTTATATTTACAATATATTGTATATATAACATATAAAATGTTTACTGTTTTACCACTAGTTTTATTGTTCGACCGTACATTATATTGTAACAGATTATACATAAAATATAAAAAAATAATTATTTTAACCAAAGTTATTATGTAAAATAAAAGATAATAGTACTATTGAAATACCAAAACAATTGACATTTAAACATTTGTTTTAATTTTGTCTTATTTTTTATTATATTTTATAGATAATATATATTATATTGAATATACGCTGATGTTTACGACAAAATGTATTATTATATAAAATAATTTATATATTATATTAACATTAAAAAAAACAAATCTAGGAAACACATTATTACTACATATTTATTTGGCCTAAATATTCTTTAATGTAATAATATTAATATTTTTAAAATTATAAACAATTACTCGGTATGAATAATAATTTTATTTTGTAATTTTAATTATTTTAATATTAATCTGTTATAAAGATAGTCTGCAAGCATTTTAAGTTAACTCAAGCATTCAAAATCTTTAGCAATAATAAAATTTTCAAACATTTGATGAAAATTATTTTTATAATTCCGTAATACATTTAAATGCATGAATTAAGTTAATTGTTTGGAGGCTATATAAATATAATTTATACTTAGACATCGTAAATATAGATGAAATGATCAATATTATAGTTAATAAAAAATTAAATAGCAATTTAAATAACTATTAATTAATTTTAAAATTTCATTTGTTTAATACATTTACAAAACATATTTTGAGATTACTATTTCTATAAAACTAATAATTGTATTCAAAATGCTTTTAAAAATAAAATTAACTATATATAAATTATAAATCATAATTTATTTTTAAAAACTATTAATAGTTTATCTACTATAATAAACAATTCATTTAAATTGTTATAAATAATTATAGTAATACTTCTATGAAAAAATAGTATTAAAATAGTTACTAACGATTCAAATATCAATTTATAACTAATATAGACATTTCCTAATATTGTATAATCAGTATCATTATATTAATGACACTCAAACAAATAATTAAATACCTATACTTGCAGAGTCTAAATGTAAATTATATACAGAATTTTATAAATTTGCGTAAAAATTGATAATACTTTATATTAAAATCATAAAAATTTTATCAAATATTTTTATATATTAAAATTAAATAAAATTGATAATATAAATATTTAATGAAATTATTATATCTCAACATATAATATTTATTTTTATCTTTACTATAAATAAAAATATAATAGATATAAAAATAAAATAAAACTATTTTAGTAAATGTAATGAAATATATCAATTATTTTGTCAAAATATCTAACTCTTGTTAATATTGATTATATATATAATAAATTCTATATAATATCTTCTATTATATCTAAATATCTATTTATATTTATATATTATAATAATTAAGGAATGAATACAAATAGTGATCAATCAATTGTCGAAAAATAGCAATTCATTAATGAATTGTCTTTAATAGTATCATCAAAACAACAAAAAATGATATAAAAAACATTATAATCAATGCTAAGAAAGTTTTATACTTAGAAAATAAATGCATTGACGATAACATCTATGCCAGCAATGAATGTCTTGCAAGAGATTACGGGCACTAATATTAAGACCAAAAAAATGTTTAGGAAATACTTTTCTCGTAAATTTGCATTTTTTGTATATAAAATATTTTTATATTAAGAATTGACACTCATTTTAATGATAAACTTAACAATTTTGTTGACTACAAAACAAATTCAGCACATTTTTTCTTAAATGCAATTTAAATGTTTGCAATCAAATATTACTAAATCTTTATTATTAAATCATTATATTGTAATTATTTTGGAAATTACTAAATAATATTTTTAAAAACATTATAAGACTTAAAATTTATTTATTGCATAAATGAAAAAATTTTACTCATTTATATAATTGTAAAGAAATAATAATTCAAATTAATATTATATATTTATTTGCAATTTTAATAGTATAGTTAAAATAAAATATGGGATTATTAATTTAGTACAATGTATATTTGATAATTATAATATATATTTGAATTATTTAATAATTAGTAAATACATTATATAATTAAAATATTACAAACAAATTATTCATAAAAATAGTTATAATGTTAGACAAGATTTAGCTCTTAGTTAAATCAAAAATTAAAATAATTTTTAATAAAATCAAAAAAAAAACAAAAAATCATAAATAATTAAAATATCATATTTAATAAAGTAATGTTCTGAACATTATTATTATACAATTACTACTGTATCAAACATGTGCTAAATTATATATACAGTATATAAATAACAGTAATGTAATCAAATTATTGAAGACATGCTTAAAACAAATCAATAATTGTTAATATAATACTATATAATGTATACATAGTTGCCATACATTTGGTTTAGCAATAAAAATACTCTTTTTTCGTACTAACAGTTTATTGCATTTATTGTTTATTTAATTATAAATAATATAATTAACATCATATTGAAAGTGTAGTTTCAATATTAACAAATCACTAGAATTTATGTCAATTCTAATAACAATATTTTTATTTGTCAAAAAACAATTCATTTGAATATATTTTATAAATGTTTTATATTATTTAAATGATTACAAATGTATAGAAATATGTAATTTACAACATTTGGTAATCAATTGAATGTATGATTTAATGCTAAATATTTATTCAATATCATTGAACACTGAATTTATTTCAATTCTATACAATATTTATAGTACTGTACACTAAAAGTATTGTATAGTATTATATGCTAACTATTCATACGGTATAATAGATTATTACATTATAGCAGATATTCATTGATTGTATTATTAGATACCAGTCATCCATCTATTGTCACTTTTATCAGTTAACATATTAGTACTTTAACTTTATAGTACTAATACCGGTATTAATATAAAGTTATAATACAATATATATTGATATATACTGTATTACAACCGGTAATTACAAATTAAATAAAAATATATTTAAATATAAGTTGATAAACGTTTTTTAAAACAATTAAATTTTTATTTATGAATAACTAAAAAATGAGCTGCAAATACACCAATTTGTCAAATATATATATACAGTATATATATATGACTGTATTTTTTTGTAAATTAATTCAATATTAAATGATTAATCATTTTTAATATTATTTATTTAATTTATATTAAATTATAATAATTTTGTCGAAACTTTGAATTAATATTTTAGTAAAAATGAATAAATAGTCACATAATATGTGAATAGTATTAATCAAACGGTATATTCAAATGATAGTGTATTTGAGTGATTGTCGGCTCACTTGACGTTTGTTTTGGTCCCGCGTTTGACCACTGATTGCATGTGATATAACACATGACACAACCAAATGGAGTCATCATATGGTAAGTGTTTGGACAGTCGGTCTCAATGTGTTTGGTTATGGCTTATGTATGTGACTATCGGTCACATCGGAGGACAACCGGTGTCGTAGTCTAAACATAAAATTTAGAAACTGTTATGTGTTTTGAAAATTTGTTGATTACATTGATAGTGATTGTATTATTTAGTTTCTATAAACTATTGGCGCAAACTGTACTTGTGTTGAGTGGTGGGCGGTCTATACTATTAGACGGCATTGAATGCAATGCATGTGCGGCTTAACGGCCATTGTATGTGTTGTATGTGTTGTATGTGTTGTATGTGTTGTATGTGTTGTGCTCTCTATATATAGCATTGAAAATATTGAATATTCTTTTGTCTCATTGAAAAGTAATGTAATATTGAAAAGCATTGCAAGTATTGGTGAAAGCATTGCAATGTACTCTATGTTTGAGTCTATGGTATGAATCGCTATATTTTGTGAGCCATTCCTCTATAGACTCACAACAACTCACTCTCACTATTACTCTCTGTGTATAGTATTGTATATTATTTGTGTATTAAATTGTATTTAAAATCATATAAATAGTCATTAATTGAATTTAATAGTTATTGTAATATATATATAATGTTAATATAGTGACCAAATTGTATGATAATAACAATTAAAGAGTTAGTCTAATAGTGTTTGCCATTTGATTATTGTATTGATTTGGTGTTTGTATTCAATGTTTGCTATTTTACATCGCTTTTAATGTTTAATAAATGAGTCGTCAAATGATTTACTGATATATTGTTTATTGTTATTAAAGTCGATGTCATTGTAAACAAAATGATGACCAAAATGGTGACTATCTATTGATTGTATGAGACATGCCATCAAACTATTGATAACATTATTGTCATAAACTTTGATTGCTGTCCACTCTCTTGTGTTATTCATTGACAATATCTATGAAGATGTCATGTCTAATGTCTTGTAATTATTTGTCGTTTCAGTGATTGTTAGCTATGAATGAAGTTGTTTGGCATCAGGAAAGACATCCATCGCTTGCACCTAACCAGAGCCACACCAGTCATCACCCGCCATCCCATCCCAATCATCATAATTCGCATCATTCTAACCATAATCCTATCCATCCCTCACTCCAATCCCTATCAACAGTCAATCACAGCCACGGTTATCACCAACACAGCCATAACAGCCCGCAGATAGGGTTAAGTCATCCGTCACAGCAATCACTAAACGGCACCGTTATGTTGGCGAATCAAACGCCCCAATCAGTGGTTATCGCGGCCAATGATATGCAAAACTCAGTACACAATCAAAAACACAATCAAAACTCAATCCGATCTCAAGATGACGCTATGGTCAGGTACTTCTTTCAAAGACCACAAACTGATCCAGACTTTCAAAACTATAACAAACATCAGCGTTGGGCGTTAGGAGACGACTCGGTTCTCGAGGTATGTTCTTAGTGTCATTTGATATCATTATTTGTATTAAATATTGATTTTTCTATTATTAAAGGTCAGACAAGGAGATGGGGAACTGGTCTCTGAATTTCAAGCTCTTGATCTCGAGACTGATGTATGTATTGTTAAAACCGTATTTTAATATTTATTATTTATTTTATTAACTAATTAGTAAAAATACTATTTTGTTTATATTAAATTTTTTATTTACGGTAATAGTATTAAATGTCTTTACCGGTAAATTAGTTTAGACTATAAATAAGCTTTTAATGAAATATTGATAAAACTAAAAGCAAAGTTATATCCTATCGTATATTTTGAGTGTCACATAAATTCATTGAATCGTTTATTTGATATTTATTGCTTGCTATCCTTTAAATAAAATAGTATTTAGTTGAAGGTAAACATCCACTAATACTATGTATTTATAATATATAAAAAGTTAATTATATTTTGATTAGTATTTTATTTATTAATATGTAAAGAAATCATAATTAAAGTTAATTATTTAAAAAATTATTTAGAGGTCATTAGCATTAAGTGTGAAATGGATGTAATTATTTAAATAATAACTAAATTAAAATACTTAACAATATAATTATAGGGTTACGCCTCAACTAAAAAGATATGGGGAATGGAAGAGCAAATGAAACACCCGGACGACCCAAAGGGTCTGTTTTTAGGTGAACCTCAGTGGGGACGAGACTCGACGTGGAGTACCGGCGGTCCCAATGAGAATGTATCGGATCACGCAGTTTCTCAACCAATTATGGTTAACTCACGTCGCAGTGGGTCCTATCCCGGCAGTGACGGTACATCGATGCTGAGTCCTCGATCAAATGATACCGGAGGTCTAGGAGTTAAAATGGTTGAATACGTATTGGGTAGTTCACCGACGGCTAAGGACTTAGACGGTCGCATGCATTCAAGGCTTATGAGTGACAAACAAAAGAAACAACAAATGAAAAATGCTTACGAAGAGTCAAAAATGCATCACAAGGACAATACCGGCGCTATGAATGTCATGCAAAGCAATGGCATTGTTATGCAAAACGGATTGGACGACGAAAGCAAAATGTTTAGCCGTACACCTGGTTGTCATCAATTAGAAGACGACAACGATTTGTCCAAAAATCATATGTTAGTCAATGACATGTCGAAAATGAAACCAAATGACGGTTTAATGCACGCGGGAATGCCATCTCATATAATGAGTAACAATGGACCGCATTTTACCGATTTTGACCACGGAGGAATAGATCAACTACAATTTGAATATCCTTCACAAATTATCGATTCGCCGGGAATTCTTGATTACAACCCTATGTATCGTCCAAATCAACCAACCGGTCAAATGCCGACCGCCTTAATAGCTCCACATCAACAACAGTTTAATTTAGCTCAACAACAAAGTCAAAGTATGCCTTCGCATACAAATCCTGGAATGTCGGGACCCAATGGGAACGGCAATAATCCTTATCCGCCACAAAATCCATACTATGGTACCGACCCTTTTTCGGCATCAATGGGACATATTATTCCTGCTGGTCCTCCTCCAGCGATGTTAGCCCAATATTATGGTATGCCGTGGGGTATGTATCCGGGAATGATACAGTCGGGTCAGGTTCAAAGCGGACAGGCATCTCATCTGCAACAACAACAGCAGCAGCAACAACAACAACAAATAATAGCTCGAAGCAATGGTGCCCGACCTTTAACACCACAAGGAGCTGGTGATGGTGCCAATCAAGTCATACAAGCGGGTCAATATCAAATGGTTCCTCACGGGTATTATGACCAAAATGGGTCGTTAATGATGGGAAATTCAGGCGCACGAGGTATGAATCCGGCAGCTATGAGAATAATGCCTCCAATGATTGTGAATCAATCGGGAAATAATAATATAAGAATGATGCCAAATGCAGGACAGACACCACAACAACATTCAGGTCCACCAAACGCTATGTTTTCTTCTAATGGAACTAATGGTGCGAACAACGGTCTGTACTCATCAACAACAAACTCTCAAATGCCATATCCCGCTTCTGTATCTAATTCAGGCGTTCCCAACTATTCCAACAATACTAATGGCAATCAAATGGGCTTTAATCCTAATATGAGTCGCAATCAAGTTCAGGGATATGGTAATAATGGTATGGGTCCAATCGGAGCATCGATAGCTTCGGGAATGGGCTTAGGAAGTAGTTCACCAAGAAGAGAGTCATTTGATGGTAGACGTGATGGTTTGGGTGCAATGTTCCCCAATAGTCTTGACAGCCAAATTTCACGCCATTTAGGATCAACCCATAAAAATGGTCAGTTCTATGGTCTCGGACCCGGCATTGGATCACCCGGTCCATTGGGAATGTTACCATCTGCTCAAAGTCTTACTCCTCCGCCATCATTGGACGGCTCAAACAGTAGCTTAAATTTGAATGCATTGGGTAGTCGTGGTGGGATTATGTCGGCAGCACCCGGTGCTGAAAACAAGTATTTGGTTCGTAACGGAGCCATAGCTCCAAATATGTTTCCTTCAAACAACTCATTCAATAACCGAATGTTAGCCCGAAAGTGAGTTTTGTTTTTTTATTATAATTACCGGTAGTTTTATATTATAATTGATATTAAAATATATTCAGAGAAATGTCAATTTAATTTTTCTGCTATTTATTTAAATGACTGATTTTTTGTTGATTATCTTAACATTTATGTTATGTATGAATAATAAATGGTTTATTTTACTGACAGCTCGTCATTAGAGAAGTCCAGCGGAAGGAGTCGTCTATTAGAGGATTTCCGGAATAATCGTTTCCCTAACTTACAGTTGCGTGACTTAGCCGATCATATCGTTGAGTTTTCTCAAGACCAACACGGGTCACGATTCATACAGCAAAAGCTCGAGAGGGCCACACCTACTGAAAAACAAATGGTTTTTAATGAGATTCTTGGATCCGCTTATAATCTAATGACTGATGTATTTGGCAATTATGTCATTCAAAAATTCTTTGAGTTTGGAACACCTGATCAAAAACAACAATTAGCTCAAAAAGTTAGGGGACATGTGCTTCAATTGGCACTTCAAATGTATGGCTGTCGGGTAATCCAAAAGGCATTGGAGTCTATACCTCAAGATCAACAAAAAGATGTAGTAAAAGAATTAGATGGACACATCCTTAAGTGTGTTAAAGACCAAAATGGCAATCATGTCGTTCAGAAATGTATAGAATGTGTTGAACCAGTTGCTCTTCAATTTATTATTAATGCCTTTCAAGGACAGGTATGTCAATTATACAGTATATATATATTGGATTAAGTGTTAATTAGTATAGTATTTTAATTTTGACTATTAATTGTAAATGAATAGGTGTTTGCACTGTCAACTCATCCGTATGGATGTCGTGTAATTCAGCGTATTTTAGAGCACTGTAACGGTGAACAAACATCTTCAATATTAGAGGAATTGCATCAAAACACTGAACAGTTAGTTCAGGACCAATACGGCAATTATGTCGTACAACACGTGTTAGAACACGGAAGACCTGAAGACAAGAACAAAATCATTCATATGGTTAGAGGAAAAGTCTTAAATCTGTCTCAACATAAGTTTGCGAGGTTTGCCACTGTTTTATACATTTGTTTTTAATTGTTTATCAATTTAATTGATTTGATTATTTCTGGACAGCAATGTTGTTGAACGCTGTGTTACCCACGCGAGTCGTGCCGAACGTGCGTTACTTATTGAAGAAGTTTGTACTTATAATGACAGGTATATTAGTATTATTGATATTAAAATTGTTTGATTAATTGTTTGATATATATATATATATATATATATTCAGTGCCTTATATACAATGATGAAAGACCAATACGCCAATTATGTGGTCCAGAAGATGATAGAAGTGGCAGAAACGCCTCAACGCAAACTATTGTTGCAGAGGATCCGTCCACATATGCCGGCGCTCCGCAAATACACGTATGGAAAGCATATATTAGCCAAATTGGAGAAGTTTATGGTTAAAAGTAATAACGATGTTTCACACGATAATAACATTAACAACCAAAACAATTGGGGATGACTTGAATTTATTGATTATTGATTTGCATGTTATGTCATGTCATTTATATATATATATTAGACGGGCTTTTATTTGATGATTTGTTTCGATTGAGTTATATTTAGTTATATATATCCAGCAATTGTAAAATTGCTTTATAAATATATACATATAATACTTGTTTATAATACATTATTACCCTAAATGGTTACTAATAGAAATCAACAAAATTATCACACATACATATTTTATATATATATATATATATTATAAATAATGAACATACAGTATATACAATATATAATTGCCGTTTTTATTGATATGTTAAATAAGTTGCACTTTCATAGATAGTGCTCTTCTATTTGCGATAATGTTTTCAAAGATTGAGTATTTATTTATTTTACTTATCTAAATATATATATATATATATTCTATTAATTGACATTTTTTTTGCTTTCAATTATTCATATATTAATTTAAATAATTAGTTTAATTTTTTTTTGAATCAAATTTAGTGACATTTTATTGCCTATTAATTATAACCAAATGACACCAATCATTGACTAATTGTGAAAACAATTGTAATGAATTTTTTATTAACTTTTTTTGTTTATTGCATTTTACAATTTCTATTTAAGTAACGAGCTTTATAATTGACTTCTTATAAATATATTATACATCATTGAATTTAATGTAAACTAAAGTATATTAAGTTAATTGCTTTATATTAAATTTAAACACATTTCACGTTGATTTCCATTAATAACTGCCCATTTGGGGTAAAGTTTTTAGGGGTAATAGCGTACATAATTATAAATATATATACCGTAAATATTATATACAGTATAAATAACTTATAAATAATACATATTGTAGTTAAATGTAAATCTTTTTAAAAAATCTATTTCAAATACAATGTATATTCTCTTTAAATTTTATTGCATTACTCGCTTATCAGAGACTACTTTGAAAGACAAATGTATTACATTTAAAATTGTATTTTTCATTAGAGCTGAAAATTAACGTATAATTTATTTTTTCAAACTTAATCTTACTGTAATTTACGCGTAATTTTGGTAAATATATAAATATATACATACATAAATATATACAGTATATATATTCCAGTTTATAATAATTATTGTTAATGTAAACAAATGTGAATTCAATGTATATCAATCTATATATATATATATATAATTGTATTATGAATTCAAATGAAATTATATATTTGTGAAATAACATGAAATTTATTGTTAACACTATAATGTTATATATATATATATTTGCAAATGTATAATACAGTATATGTAGATTACAATCACTTTTAATGCAGACAATACAATATCCTAAAAACAAAAATATCAAAACCCAATTTATTATTAATTATTATTTTATATTATTATTATATTACATTTTTGTTTACTATTTTATCAAAAAACAAATTTTATTTTGAAAACTCCCACTATATTATTATATATATATATATTTAGATAGAATCTAAATAATTGGAAATGTTTATAATTGTATTTTTTCAGATAATAAATTACGCGTAACTTTCAAAACAGGGCGTAATTTACAATTTTGTTAAGATTTGATTAATTTTTGTTGTAAATTACAATTTGGTAAATATTAATAATGAATTGAACTGAACTCAGCTCTAAAAATTGAAATGTTTTAAACATTAAATGAATTATATTTTGCATTGCGAGCCAATACAAACATGAGAGTCAATGTCTAAAATTTTAATTTAATAATTAAATTATATTATAAAAACAAATTAATTTGATTATACATATTAACTAATTGTAAATTAAATGTAGTTTATTATCTGTAATTGGAATTCTTGTAATACTTATATTTATATTTTAAAATTAATAATAATTAAAAAGTGATTTAAGTTGTGAACGGATTTAGGAATTGCTGTTATGACTGGTCGGTGGGTTTTGTTTCAGTTGTAAAAGTATTGATCGCATTCTTGTCGTGTCTTTTGTATTTCTGGTCGACTTAGGATTAAAGTCACACATTTTGGCGATTTTCTCCCACTCCTGACCCTCTACTTCAGTATCTCTTTCRGCCACCCATTCCTTCTCAGCGTTTCTTTTTGTCAAAACAAAYAAATAAATAATATTAATATTAATAAATCAATYATTAAATTGGAAATAAAAAACTATATTAAAACCAAAAATGACTAATTAAAGGACAGTAAATATGTGGTCATTACTACGGGTAAGTGTAATAGGGGTAACACAATACAGAGTACATAGTTGAGAGTATGGCTTACTTGCAGGCCTCCCTGTGCCGCACAAATAGTGAGAGTATCATTGATTAGCAGTTATTAATTGTAATGATTATTAAAGTGTTATTTTGTGTTTTTAGGAAAAGTAATAATAATAATATTAAGTAAAAATCCTAACCGTTTGAGTTAATTACTTGTTTGTTAAAGATTTAATAAAAACAATCATTTTATACCTATTATTAATCTTAGACTTTTCCAGCTGTTCGGCATATCTGGCATACCATTCCTCGAGTTCATGTTTTGCCGTTTGTTTTAATTCCTCTTTTTTCTTGGCCTCCTCTCTATCCTTCTCTTCTAATAACTTTTGTTGATCTTCTCTCCACTTTCGGATCTTTTCGGGTTCTTCTCTAATCTCAACCTCTTTTATAGTCGTGTTGTCCGACGATTGCGACGAATTGATTGCATTATTTGTTAATACATTGAAGTCGTCGTGAGTCGATTCGTCGCCATTAGTGAGACCATTGGGACCGTTCATAAACTGATCCTTCAAATTAAGACATCAAGACATTAGAATCACATTAAATCAAATAAAACTATCAATTAATACCTCATCTGCGTCTCCGTTAGCAAAACTGCCGTTGATTTCTGTCAATCAAACAATACAATCAATTAATTAGATTTGAGATATTAATGAAATCAATGATATTATTAAATACTTTGTGACAAATCTTTAGTATTTGTGGGAAACTCGAAGTCATCTTCGAGTTCGGCCAAAACATTCTGTTCTCGGGCCAGAAAGTCGGCCGCCGGGTCTTCTGATACCAATGTATTCACATCTGCCATTTGTATCACAATTACAGTCAACGAGATTTCAGAATATAAATGACACACAGAGTGGGATCAATTGAGGTGATCACTGGTGATGACAACACAACTGAGTGACAAATCAACTGTCAAAGTGGTGTCACTTATGCCGACAATGATCTTCTTGGTTGTTCTTGTTGTGATTAAGACGAACCAATTGGTGATGTGTTGGTAATGTATAGTGACTGTTGTGGTTGTTGTGGTGACAATCGGTGTGTCAGTCAGTCAGTGAGTCCAGTGATGGCAATGTCTTCATATAAATGGAGGCGTATTTCACAGGAAATTGTTGTACGAATACTCAATCACGTGATCATTGACTCAAACGCTTACAAACACTACGACTGTTGACAACATATGTGACGTCACTTCCAATACATTCAATTSAATGGATTTATTTGCTATGAGTTTGCAATCATTGAAAAACATTTGTTTGATTCGACACTTTAGGTATCAAATAGACTACAAACACATTGACTTCAATTGAATGACACATACATTGACTTTCACTTAATTAGTCAATCGATTAATGGATTGCAATAATCAACACATAATGTCAACCAATGAGAGTGTCGTCAATGCATTCAATCGTAAGTTTGTTTTGATTGTCATATGTTTGACACTAACGGTGTGTTTGTGTGGCGACTGTAGTGTCGGATCAGATCATTAGCCGACTCTTTAACCACAAACCATTCATTTTCGGAGAAATCAGATTTATTATCAAAGAGTTTGAAGATAAACGACAAGACAGGGATAGGACAGCACTGAATGAATCATTGCAACGGCTGATGGATATCACTGACAAAGACATAGACTCTGCCATCGATTGCTGCCAACAATTAGATAATAATCTCAACTCTCGTACCCATAGTTTAGACCAATTAATGCAAGAGATTCTTGATTTAGAGTCAAAACAAGAGAGTCATCGCAAGGAAGTGTTGTCCGCCAATAGAGTGGACAGAAATGTCGATTTGATGTCTTTGATTGAGACCTATAACTCAAAGATCAATGACATCGACGGACAGTTCGATGAACAGGAAAAACAACTAACACTTGAATACAAACTCTTGGAAACCAAACTCAATATTATTCCCAACAATTGCAATGAATCGTCAAATGTGTGCCAAAATATAAATTAATTTTTTATCATTTACCAGATTATGTGAATTTTTATCAAATTTTAATTATTAATTGATATACAATTGAGTTTAAAGAGACCTTAAAATTTAAATTGTTTTTATTGTACATAAAAATTTGATTTATAGTAAATTATAATAATTATTGTAAAACTAGTCGATTATATTATATATCATAATTTATATTTGTATCGCATCACAGATTTTATGATTAAAGTTTTTTTTGATGAAATAAATACCATATTATTGTTTTTTGTGTAATATATTCAGTAATAATTGATTTCATATAACACTTATAATTTATATTTATATGATTTTTTAAGGAATTTTTTATGTTTTATTAAAGTTTTACAGATTTACGAAAATAATTTGAACCATAAATAAAACAGTTTTTTATTCAAAACATTGCCAAAGAAGAGATCGCTAATAATAACAGCTAACGAACCATTGAATTAAAAAAACTTGATTTTTTCTAATGAATTGAATTCAATTGAAAAAAGTTATCAAAAGATTAAATACATATTATATGTAGGGTTAGATCAGATTCCCTCCCTCGTCTTATTTTCCATAAGTTCCTTATATTCCCTCTTCCCTGGGAATTCCCTGGGAAGACATTTCCTTGTGGTACCACCTATCGTACCATAACTCACATTACATAATGTTTAATTAAAAACACGTTTGTATAGTAAATGACTGCAAAATGTATTTAATGTTTTTACTAAATGTTTAATAATATTTGAATCATATTTTGATTGAGTTATTGCTAACATACTGGTCCCAATTGAAACACATAGTCATTGAGATTAGGTACTTTATAATGTATGACAAATTATATTTTCCTTTTCTAACGATCAAGGGAGGGAATATAATATATTTTCCATATTTTCCGGGAAAATTGGAGGGATTTTATTTGGGAACTTCCCTCCCTGGGAATCTCAATCTAACCCTAATTATATGAGATGAGAGCACAGGTTGGCACCCGTTCCGGGTTTGACTGCCTGTTGTTAGGTTGGGTTTCAGTGTTGCTATTATAATGACCACAACATATCACAGGCAATACTTGAGAGTTGATTATCAAACTATAAATAAAACTAAAAGTTGTTTAAATATTTTATGCGAAAAAAGCATTAAAAATAATAATAAATGATTTGAGAGAAGACATCGGATACGAGTCATTGGACTTAACATTGATTTTGAAGCCAATGTTTGCCAATGCATTCAATACTACAATAGCTTAACATTCAAGTAATTCAATGCCTTTTAACTAATAGCTGACTATTAAAATAAAAATATATTACTATTTATAAAATATATAAACTTTTTAAAACAATTCAAAGACAGGCATTGCTGTCGACTCAATCATTGTTTAACTACAAGTCTAGCGATATATATATATATATATATATATATATATATATATATATATATATATATATATATATGGAGTAAAACTTTTGTGTAGATGTTGTATATAATATGTATTTAAAAAAGTGTAACACAATTGTGATTATAATTAAAAATACAAACTAATAATAATACAAGTGTTAGGACTTGTTTGTGATATGTATTTCTGTAATTCACTATATATTGAATGCATTCATAATATAATAATAATTGAATGAATGCTTTGACAGACTGTATGTGTTGTTAAAGTCAAACACAACACAGCATTGAGTCCAATGCGAGCACTCATTGAGTCAAATGTTGTTCTAATGTTTTGAGCACTCATTTGATTATAACGTCTAACAACACATTCATCTCATTATTATTAATAAATATTGCATTTATTTCATCCATATATTCATCTTTTTTTTATTAATTATTATTATTATCACTCATTTATAGTCACATAACTCATTAAACAATTAATTTAAAGGTATAACTATTTATGTCATTTAATTTTTATATTAATTTAAAATACATTAAATTAATTAATTTTAAAAACATATCAGTATTTATTTAATGAGTTAACAATTGATGTTTTTGTTATAATTTTGTCCATATTTTTATCAATTTATAGTTAATTTGATAACTTATTTTAATAATTAATTATTGTTTATTACATAATATGATTAATATTTGATGTAATTGTATGTAAATATTGTTTAATAATAACAACAATATTTGATTGAATGTATTGAATGAACAAAATGTTAGCACAAAAGCATTGATTTGTGTGTTTGAAGTACTAATGAATTGCTATTAATATTATGATTTAATTTTCAGATAACAGCGATTAAAACAATGAAATATTTTGCAAATAAACCCAAATGTAAGTAAAAACCAAAAAAACGATTGATTTGTTGAATTGATATCACAGTTAGCGGTCATACCATTTGCGTGAATCAAATGATTAAGTGATGCCTTATTTGGCTATTGATGTCAATTGAATACAAACGACTGTTTTAAAGACAAACTTTTCATTTAATTATCATATTTGTCATCATTTGGTTGTGAAGTGATTTGAGACTATAAACTAAATAATTACAATGACTTCCAGTGATACCATCATTGATAAAGAGTTGGATGATTTTATATATGTGACTAATGAAGATCACGATTACTTGGATTCCGATGATAATTGGCTGACCAATGATGTCGAGCTGAAGACATCGCGAGCCAATTGTCAAAACATTATCAATTGGATCCAAAGTGCATTTAATTGTCAAAAAACTAGTGGTGTTAATATGTCTTTAGTGAACCAATTGAATAACTTGAAGTTGACGAGTGGTCACTCGGTCTCAGTTGACACCCGAACATTTACCCGACAAAAACAACGAAACAAACGCCAGAGTCTGTTTAATGGCACAACTTTGACAACTTTATGCTCACCCGTTAATGAAGACGAGTATTCAAGTCCTGAGGCCAACGATCGGACATTTGAAGTGCAGACAAACGCTAATCAATTATTGAACGGAACGTTTAACAAGAATTTAGGTAACAATACATTTACGATGGCATCAGATGCTCATCAGCTCAATGATATGGAAGACGTTGAAAAAATAGCCAAACTTCAAGAGGACAGTCTTCGACAAAGTTGTTCTACAAATGGGTGGTCAGTCGTAAATCAATCACCAAACAGAACTCAATTGTATACCAGAAATATTAATACCAATACCTTAACAAAAGGTCGTTTACCGACCAGTCATTCACGAGTTACCGATGCAATGGTTGATGACTTAAGTCACTTCCACTTAGAATATGACGATTTAGAAGATGATAATCAGTATTACGATGAGACTATGCTATCGCCAGGTATTTGTTTTAAACTTATAAGTAATTGCATTAAATTAAATCAAAAATAATGATTTGTTAAACATTTTTAAAACAGAGGATTCATTCAGAAAACAAACGTCTTATACGAGCACTCCATTAGTCAACAACAGAAACTTAAATTATAATTCTTCAGTCAATAGACAACCAATGGTTTCAAAGATAATGCCAGATATTAGTAATCTTAAAGCTCATAGTGGTTATGGTGTGTCTAAAGTGGGCAGAAGTGAACCTAATTTAACCCGACGTTTGCAACCATTGGGTCGAGGAATGGCATATAATTCAACGAATAATAGGTATGCGTCCAACAGGACTACCGAAAACAACACTTCCAATCGTCCATTATTTTTGGAGTCAAAAACTCCGAGTGATTCTCGTCTTATTGTTCGACCCAATGGATTAAGACCTCCTAATCACAACTTAATGACCACAAATATGAGACGTGATTTGTCGCCGCCGTCCATACAATGTCAACAATTATTGAATAGAAAGGTAAACAAAATAATTATAAGTAGTTTTCATATTTAATTAAGTAATTAATGCCAAATGCTTTGCATATAGTATGTCATTATTAAAACATTTAAATAATTTATCATTTAATATGAATTGCAAATTATGTTATAATTTAATGAATAGAATATACAGTATTATTAACAATTGGTGTGTATGTGTGTGCCATAGGTTGCGGTTGAGGGAGAGCTTAACAGAGTGGGCACAACCACTACAAACACTAGCAATACTACTACTAATCTGAGTAGAAAATCCACTTTTCGGGTCCGAGACTTTCATACTATCAATAATGAAGACAACAATACTGATCTGTGCTTAACTAATAATACAATTGCATCAACAAATGGGTTCACAACTAACAAAACAATCAATCACAACAATAATGTAAATAATAATAATACAAATCAAACTGTCCAAAGAAATGTGTCAAAAATTCCCGGACCGAAGACTCTTAGGTGAAACTCATAGGATTTTTTAACAGTGCTTTTTAATAATATATTAATTGCTTTTAATCAATCAAAATAGATAATGTAAATCAAGTGTTGTTAACAATTTATTTTTTTACTCACAGATCGGGAATTCCGGCGCCTTGTGGTCCGCGCCCAGCAATGCAATGTCCAACAAACTCAAGACCTCACGTCAATCATACCGATAACTCGTGGAAAAACGGGTGCTTTTAGTTGATGTTATTTTAAATTACAATTATTTGTCAAATTAAAAAAATAGTTTTATAATGTTTTACAGTTTTGCATTTAATTATGTTTAGCTTTTTTTGTTGTTGAATATTTATGATCATTATATAGTCAAAAATTGTTTCATTTTGTGTTATTTTTACTTTTCTTTTTTTATTATATGTAAAGACAAATGTTTTTATTGTCATGATTTTGAAGCTGTGATAATAGCTATGATAATATGTGGCCATAAGTTTTATTTTTTGTTTTAACACTCATTTAATCTAAATTTTAATAATCAAAATATATTTGTACAAAATTAATGAATTTGTCTTTATATAAATTATACTAAAATATATATATATAACTTTATAATTAAAATGATGCACTAATTTTAATGTCCTATCAATTAATATACAAATTAATATGTACTGTATGTATATAAATAATAAGTAGTGAAGTATTATTGTGCCTTTTTATTAAATAAATAACATTGAAGTGCTATTTATTAAAAAATAACACAATTTTTCTATTTGTATATTTTATCATTGAAGATGAGATTAAAAAAGTTTTTAAAAAACAATTTATTTGTTAATTTTGTTAAAATTAATAGCTGACATTAATTTAATGTATTATATTATACCAATCTATAACCGGTTCAAATATTAACAATGATAAAATTATACTATACTTATAAATTGATAGTATTATTTTTGTATCAAAAATTTAATGTATCTATAAATTATTGTTCATTAATTATTTTAAACCATTAATCATTAACAAAAATTTTTATTGATAATTATTTTGTGTTCATATTTTCATATAATATTACTAATAAATTATTAAATATCAATATTATAATATTTATGACCAGTTTATCAGGAAATGCAATGCATAGCTATACTAATTTAAGTAATTTTATAACATATTATTTATATTATACTATAATTTAAATATAGAATATTTCTCATGATTATAATTTTATTATATTGTGACGGATTCTGAAAATATAACTATCAAAGAACATCATTCAAATAAAACATATAAATTAAGAAACAAAAATGAAAACAAATAATAATAATTTAGAATAATATAATATTTTATTTAAAAAATACAATTTCCTCTATTTTTGTCTCCAATCTGGCAAACAAACGATATTCTTCTAAATTTTATAATAAATTTTAAAATTTTATTAAATATATAATATTTATATTATATAATTAGAAATTAAATTATTCAAAAATTTATAATTAATTATTGATATATTTTAGATATTATTTTATGTAAACATTTAGATATATAATTAGAGTATAATTATAAATTTTTTAATTATACTTACAATTGAGGAGTTGATTCATCTGAAACTATGTCTTTAAGCAAATACAGGTACTGTATATATATTATACCAGTAAATAAATTATATATGTTTAGACATTTAAACAAATGTCACATATTCACTGATTATATAACTGTTATAAACTATTTTTTTAAATTTTGTTGTTGTCATAAATTGTTGATATTATAGGACTTGTATAAATAATACATTATAATTAAAGTATACTTTTAATAAAATTGAACTGATAAAATTATAAACAATAAATTAAAATATTAAATATATTTAATTTATAAAGTATAATAATTAAGTATTGTGTCAACTAAATCATATAATTTAATTGTAATACTGTATGACTACTATTTGAATATACTGTCAATATCTCATTTTATAATTTATATAACATATCAATAAAATTGACAAATTAATATAAATTTATAAATATTTAACAAAATTAAAAACAAAATTATAAATATGCAAAATACATGCATAATTTATTATTTAAAATATTCAAATATTTCAAATAAATGATGGTATTATTGATCTGATTTAAAGTTTTAATGAAGTCAATAACTATTCACTTTAAATTTAGATATATTAATATATACAGTATATTTATATATAATATATATTTTCAATAATTCTATATTTTTACCCTCCGGTTAACAAAATTTTCTTTATTTAATTACTATTTATCTCACTTTTTTTAAACAATAAAAAGTATGATGATATCTTCGAGCAACATTGCTAGATTTAAAAAAAATAAATTTAAGGTAAAATTGCTATTTTTATAAAAATTAAAATAAAATATTATAATTTTCAATATTTTATGGAAGATTATTTAGAATTAAATAAAAATTAAATGAAATATAATTAATGTATTTTTTGTAAAGTCATTTTAAAAATAATTACTAACGCAAAAAATTATTTTATTTTAAATATTTGTTTATAAACTAATATAATTGGAGTTTCTGTTAATCTAAATCCAATGATTTTAATATTAATTTTCCTCATTAACTTAATTACATAAAATTTATAAGCATTTTATTAATTGGACAGAATTTTTATTYTTGAATATTTTATTTAAATTATTAATATTAAATTTATTTGTTTATAATAATTTTTAAAAAATAATTTCTACAAATTGTTGAATAATAAAAAATAGTTTTCAAAGAAAGTGCACTAAATAATGAAAAATTGCATTTAAATTATGAATATAATTGAAAACTAGTCGACACTACTGTATATAACATTATTAACTGATATTACAAATATTATGTAACAATAATTTACTGTAAAGTATATGAATCCGGATATTATTGAAATATGAGTTCAAGATTTATACAAATGAATAAACTTTAAAATTTATTTGAAACAAATTTTGTTTTTAAAATTATAGTTTTCAACTTAAAGTAATTTTTATTTATTATTATCTTTATGAAACAGTTTTGTTACTAAAAATATATAATAATTTTATTTAACTTTATTTTAATAACAGAGTACATAATTATAAAAATTAATTTCATTAATAAGTGATATCAATTGTAAGTGAAATTAAATTTTATAATCTAATAAATTATAAACAAATGTCTATAATAATAAAATTATTAAAATAAATTTGAATTATATTAAAAGTAATTTTGGTTATTATTTTGAAATATTAGTTTTAATTATAAAATTTATTTTAAATATACTGATATAATAGATATTTATATTTATCTAAATTTTATTAACTTTGACCAAAAAAATAATTTAATCAATATATTTGATTATTTTATTACTAGAATTTAAGTGTTAAAAATTATAATCAAAAATTTTACTAAAAGTGCTAATAATATAAATACAAAAAATACATTTTAATTCAATGGCTATTATTTTATGATAATTTTTTTAATATATATATATTTTCTATTGCAATGGGAATCAAGTTTTACTAGAAATTCAACACAAATACTGTTTGCCTCCTAAACCCCCCCATCTGTACAATAGAGTTAACAAATTGAGTATCAGTTAAATGCATAACAAATATAATAAAATCCCGATTTGTAATTATAATGACATAAATCATGAATTTATCCCAAATTATAATGTATTAACAATCAAATAAATTACACAAATATTATATTCACATAATTTGTTTGATATAATAATTTTTTATATAAATATTTTTGTGAATTTTAAAATAACTATAAATAATAAAAAATCTAAATTAATTAAAACAATTATTGTTATATKCARTGAATTATGATACGGGATATACTGTACATGTAATTAAACTTACATTTCATATATTTATTGTTACATTATATTAATATATTATTATTTTAAAATGTGATGTTATTTCTTAAAATAATAGTGTGATATCTACTATACAGGACGGGATAGGATATGACAGGACAGGACAGGACAAGACAAGACAGGAATGGTTTTTATAAAAAATAATTATAAAATTAATTAAATTATTCAATAGATATATGAAATAATAGTTTGATTGTAAATATAATGTAATATTTTGGTCACAATATTATACTATTGTTTGGTTGTATTATTGAGTCAACTCTTAACTCTTATTCTATATATTATTGAATGACGTAATTGTGTTATAGAATGAATGAATGAATGAATTTATGAATCGATAGTCAGTTTTGATATTAATATTGAAATTAGAGTTTGAGTTGTTTTATATGTGTTTGCAATACAATGAAAGTGCTGTAAAACTGTGTATAAGTATAGCATTAATAGCGGGAAATGCATTGAAAATAGTGAGCAAAACGGGAATCCATTGTATGGTTTAATGAGCGCATGAGTTATAACATGAGTGACAATACTTTGAACAATCATATCGTCCAACAGTTTGTCCACAAATTGATCCAACAATTAGATACTCAACAAACAGATTCAATACCTGTCAGTGATGTCAAACAATTGATTGAAAAGTTGGCCACAAGTGTTGTTCCCGAAGTGACCGATAATATTAATAAATCAACTAAAGACACGAATACACCAAACACTGGGACATCACTGTCGGCGTCTGAGATCAACACCAATGATAACACACACATCAATGGTCAACACGAATGCCATTCCGATGACAATCAACTGACAACAGAAGACAAACTGTTGACTTCATTTGACAATATAATCAATACTAGTGTTGAGTTAATTGACTCATCTTTGGACACATCACACGATAACATCCATCACATCACTGATAAAGATAGTGATAATCAAGTGTCAGATGAAGACACTGATCAACAATTTAACCAAAGTGTTGATAAGTCTATAGATAATAGCGATAAAATAATTACAGATAATATCAGTGATTATCAAGTGTTACCTGAATATAGTGATTATAGTGATGAACAACTTAACCAAATTGTAAATATATCTGCAGATAATAGCGATAAGACATTTACCGATAGTATCAGTGATAATAAAATTGAAAAGTCCACAGAAGACACTGTTATTGATAGTGTCGATCATAGCCAGAGTATCCATAATAGAGATCAATTAGACGACCAAAAGTGTCCTCAAGAAGTCAATAGTGAAAGTGATATTAAATTAAATACTGAAACTGAGTTTAGAGTCAAGAAAAGAGACGCTTTAGACTCGGAAATTAGTTCAGACGATAACATTAGTGATATATCTATGGGAAGTGCCAGAAGATTGCGCTCAAGAAGTGATAAGACGAGTGCCAAAAGCAGTGCCGATACTTCTGACGTTGATTTTAGTGATTCGTCAAATATACCCGAATCGGACTCAGACTCTGATTATACCACAACTCGACGATCAGCTGCTAATAGAGTGTCTAAATATGATAAACTGAAAAACGATATCAAATTCAAGTTATTGCCATCCATTGACTTAATTAAATTGAGTGATCATATCATCGAGTTGTCAACAAATGAGGCCAAAGAAGCTGAACAACTGATTGTCAATTTAGAGAAACAATTGACAGACTCTCTAACAGCTGTCGGAGTGTATTGTAGAACAATGAAACCTATTGTGTCATCAAATAAAAGAAAAAACAATAATACTGATGATGTGACTGATRATGATAGCAGTGGTTGTGAGGGTGACAAAGAAATTAGGAAATTGTGTCGAAAGCCTAGACTTAGTAAACGAACCACAAAGAAATCAACAAAGTCTGACAATGGTTCCAATGAATCAAATGATGAGATCATCACAAAAAACAAAAAGGAGTCAAAACAGAATAAATTGAAGACATCGACACCACTTAAGTCAAAATCAAGTGATTCAGAACTTGAGTCCGACTGTGATGTCTCTAAAGTGGCTAAAAGTTTCAATGATAAAAGTGATGACACTTTTAGATCATTGAAGCCGTCAAAGAATGTCGATGTCTTGGACTCGGATTTAAGTTCTGATGAAGAAATCAATAAAAAGGACACTAAAAACAAATCTAATAAAAGCAACAAAAATAAGGATTTAGTGAAAGATGAAAAAAATGACAGCGAATGTGATATTAATAGCGATAGTAATATTAAGACTAATAAAAAGCCAAATATTAAAGAAAAGTCAGTAATTAATATCGAGAGCAGTGATGAAGAAATTGTTGCCACGAAAAGAAAAGTTGCAAAAACTAAGCGAACAAATTCTGACGACGATTACAACGATAAAGAGGATAATAGTGACGATTACTCTGAAGGAGAATCTGAAGGATTGGATCCGTCAGCTTTAGAATCTGAGGACAACTCTGACGATGAAATTTCCGGTTCCGATGGAAAGTCAAAGAAATCAAAAAGTGGTAAAAAATCGAAAGATTCAAAAAAGAAGAAGAAGTCGAAGGAAAAATCAAAGAAAAGAAAACGAATTGTAATTATTATAACTTCTAATGTCATTAATATTACTCTTAAATTATATGAAATTAATTAATTTTGTTTATTTGTTATCAATTGATTAGAAAATTGCTGACTCATCTGATTCTGATGATTGTAAAGTTCTTTCTGACGGAAACAACGAAGATTCGCCTAATAAAAGCCGCAAAAACATTAGGAAAGTTATATCCGATAAGAAACTAAAGGTTTGTTTASTCAAAAAATAGTCTGATTTAATGATATGTTTTACTAAAAAATTATGATTTATTTATAGCAACAAACAAAAGACGCGGCAGAAGCAGAACGCGATCGTATTAAACGAATTAAAGAACATCAGAAAGTATACAACGATTTTATTAAAGAAAGACAATTAAAGTCAACGGATGTCAAAGAATTAATACTTGAATTCAACAAAGAAACCAAAGAAATTGTCACTGAAGTGGACAAAGATTTGGTGAAATATTTAAAACCYCATCAAACAGATGGCATTCAATTTATGTATAATTGTCTCATTGAGTCCATCGACCAGTTGTCTATATCGGAAGGTTCTGGTGCTATATTGGCTCATTCAATGGGTTTGGGAAAAACATTACAAGTAATAACATTTTTGTATACAGTTATGTCACACAAAGTTATTAAAAAGCATTTAAAGCGTTCAATTGTGATCTGTCCGGTRAATACAATCAAGAACTGGGCCAATGAGTTCAAAATATGGCTCAACGATAATGATTTTGACGATCTCTTAGTCTTTGAGATGCACGACGCAAAGACACCACTTCAAAGGGCAGAACTATTAAACTTGTGGTTTGATAGGGGAGGAGTCCTTATCATTGGACTTACATTATATTCGAGTCTTGTGATGGGAGGACGCGGCAAAAAGCCTCCTAAATCAGTGAGAACTGCTGTCCATAAATGTCTAATAGATCCCGGACCTGATATCTGTATATGTGATGAGGGACATTTGCTCAAAAATGAAAAGACCTCTTATAACAAAGCAGTTTCACAAATGAAATGTTTAAGACGTGTAGTACTCACTGGAACTCCACTTCAAAACAATTTGAGTGAATATTATGTTATGGTATCGTTTGTTAAGCCAAGTCTTTTAGGCACCAAAAAAGAGTTCATCAATAGATTTGTAAATCCAATAACTAATGGTCAACACGAAGATTCAACTGAATATGACGTCAAAATAATGAAGAAAAGAGTGCATATATTACACACATTATTGAATGGTTGTGTTCACCGACGAGACTATAATGTTTTGGTACCATATTTGCTACCAAAATATGAATATGTATTGAGTGTTATGTTAACAGAAAAACAAATAGAGTTGTATTCGCATTATTTGGAGAATTGCACCGATAGGTCGCGTCAATGTCTTTTAGCCGATTACGGAGCCCTACGACTGGTTTGGAACCATCCGATACTTCTGTTTGAACAACACAGACGCAAACTTGAGAAAGAAAATGACGAATTGGACGAATTTATCAATGATGACGACGACGATGAAGACGCCGATATACCAGCCAGTGGTGACTCTGATATCGAATGTATTGATGATAAACTAACGTCACGACCATCAAGAAGAATGCGAACTCGATTTGGAAAGCATGAAGAAGAGGAACAGGAGGTGGAGGAAGATGTGAAAAGCGAAAAAAGTAGTGACAGTGTATCCAATGCATGGTTTTCAAAGTTCCTTAAGAGTAGAGAAGACGCCAAACAAATAGAACTCTCCGGAAAATTTATTCTTCTTTTCTCAATACTTGAAGAATGCGAACGATTAGGCGATAAAATATTGATATTTTCACAGAGTTTAGACACTTTAGATCTCGTCGAAGAAATGCTTAAAATTAAATCTGAAATATCATTACAAAAGTCACGCCAAGAAAGCGATTTAGAGACGTCTTATAATGAAGTAACCAATTTGTGGTACAAAAACATTGATTACTTTAGACTCGACGGCTCTACCGGTTCTGACTATCGGAAAACATGGATTGATTTGTTTAATCAGGAGAACAACTATAGGGCCCGACTGTTCCTGTTATCGACAAAAGCCGGTGGTTTAGGCATAAACCTCGTCGCTGCCAATCGTTGTATTATATTTGACGCCTCTTGGAATCCATCACACGATGTTCAAGCAATCTTCAGAGTGTTTCGATTCGGACAAAAAAAACCGGTTTATGTCTATAGGTTTGTAGCCCAAGGAAGTATGGAAGAGAAGATTTATGAACGACAAGTGATAAAACAATCGCTTTCGTGTCGTGTTGTCGACGAACAGGCCATTCAAAGACATTTCAAACAATCAGAAATGTCTGAGTTATACATATTTACTCCCGACACCAATAAAGATAGACCGACTCCTAAAGTACCCAAAGATAGACTTTTGGCCGAAATCCTTATCAATCATAAGGAATATATTGTCAAATATCACGAACACGACTCTCTTCTTGAGAATAAACCCGATGAAGATATGACTGAAGAAGAAAAGCAATCGGCTTGGAATGAATACGAACAAGAAAAGGATGCACTCTTTCTTAGAGAAGAACAGGAAAGGGAGGCACGTATTCAAAGACAAAACTATATTTATCAACAACAACAGTACCAACAATATATTCAACAACAACAACAACAGCAGCAGCAACAGCAGCAACAACAACAACAAACACAACAATACGCTCAACAGGTTTATCAACAAATGCAAAATAATCTTTTATCACAAAATCTTCAGTACGGCTCTACTTCTAACACATTCTCAACACTTCTTCAAAATCAGATTTACCAGAATATTATGAAATCTCAGGAAGCGATACGCAAACAACAACAACAAAAATATCAAGAAGCGACTGAAATGATTATAAGACAACAATTATCAGCACAACAGTCCACTTCATCAGCTAATGGGGGTCTTCCGAGTTATGACTCCATGACTGTTGAAGACATTGCACGATATTTTAGAGCACTTAATACTAATATCAGTCCCAATGATTTGGTTCAGAAGATTTTCAATTTAATCGACACCGGTATCAAAACCTGTTCCAAGGAATTGGAAGATGTCAAACAACAGGTCAGTCACTTATTATTATCTATATTTATGTATCATTTTTTTATAATATAATCGATACAATATTTGTGCTTATATTTTAAGTTTAAATCTATCTAATAATTAATTGGTTTTAAGTTCAGCTTTTTTTATTAAGTCACACAAAGTGTGTATTATTTTTAATATTTATATTATATATAAATAACTATTGAATCGTTATTATTATTTTACGATTAACTTATAGATTGCATTTATTAGAATAAAATCTAACTTTTTATAGACTAATTTATTATATGAATAAAGTAAATYAATACTTTGATTTAAAATGAAATTAAATATAAATATTTGCATATTTTTTAGCAATTATTATACTAACTATAGTATTTTAATTACATTTTTAGCATAATTTATTATTTCTGACTTATTTTTAAATATTTTAATAAATTGAAAATTATTWTAATATTTAATACCAATGTTTAGATGAGAACACAGAATTCGGTTGAATTGAGACCGAAATACGAAAAATTGGCGAAAGAAGTGTTTAATTTGAATACTCAAAAAACAAGAGCTCAGGTATTATAACATTATTATTATTATTATTGCATTTTGTTTTGATTTAGTTAATAATCATTACATTGTATCAAAATGTTTGCAACAATTGAAACATCACTTTAATGACTAATGAAAAATCAAAATACATATACATTGAAATCAAATTCATGTGCAATATATGTGAAATATCCCAAAGTGGGTTTTTGTTACCATCACTATACGGGATTCCCAGGACCGGGAATCCCTACAAAAACCCCCAAAGTGTTTGCTTATATAGTTTTTACAAATTAAAATATTTAGAGTCATATAAGATATTTAATTTTAACATTTTTTAATAAACTGATATTGTTTATAATTATAATTATTATTGTGTTGATAGGCTATGTTTATAAGCCAAATGAATAGGACAACAACAGCAACAACAACAACACCAGCAACAGCTGGTCCCAGTATTTTGAGACGACATATGACGAATGGTTCGACACCATCGACATCGACATCCAAATCTGCCAATGATTTGATAGAAGAAGTCGATTAATAGCTTATCAGTCATTCAAATCATTTAGTCATTAAATGATAAATTACTTCATTCATAATCGCAATTAATTTTTAAAGTTAAATACTATTTCTATTTAAACATTTGATTTTATCTTTAATTTGATTCAGTTATTGTAAAAGTGATTTTTGTGTGAAGACATGCGTCGACAGGTAGACTATTAATACCGTACTATTGGTTTATAAGGTTTTACAGTATATTGTATATGAAAAGTTTGAATCTGTATTTCCTATCATACAGTTTAGCGCACATTTATTTTAATATATCACAAGTTTCACTACTACTACTGCTACTATCATTGCTATTTGTAACTATTTATTGATATTATTAATAATAATATTTTGTCATTAAGTTGTACAAAATAAAACCTTTTTAAATTTAGTATTAATATTATATAATTAAAATTAAACTAAATATTTGTGGATTCATATAATTAGGTCTGTATTATTACCGTAATATTATAAGCGCTAAACTATTTGTTATACTAAATCATAATCTATTGTATTTTGAATGCCTGTCTCTTTGTTTTGATTGTAATTTATTTAATTCCTATATAAATAATATTAACATTAATGTAATAATCAGCTATATAATAGATATTTTTATTATTGTCATAATTATAATAATACAATATAATATATTATTATATATATATTAAAACAATTGTTAATTAATTTATACACTAGGTTGTTTAAATTACTTTTTTTCTATGTTTACTTTTGTAAAAAATATTTTATATTACAACTATTTATAAATAAAAAATATGATTTTATTAATAAACTTATTTTTAATAAATTAATATTTATTAAATTTTTATTTCAATTAAGGTAACAATGAAGATTTATATAACTAAATTTTTAATCGATATTAAAATTTAGAATAACTTATATAAACTGCAAAATATCGATATCACGAATGATTGTATCATAACTAGTCCTATACAACAAACTCATTATATATACTGTAGTAATAGGCAAACAACTCAACAAAATAATCATTTCCTATATTAAGAATATTCCTAATGTTTAGCTATTATATCCAAACCATAGGATAGCTAATGGAGTTTATTCTTATAGAAGGGAATCACTTAATTATGTGACTCTAAGGGAAACGTAACAACAAATATGTTTGTTTGAAATATCTATATAAAAGCAATAATATAGTATAGGCTTATATTTAACATTACATTTCAATTGAAACCTTATAAGTATTCATAACTAAGTTAGTTATAATAATTACATTTTAAATATAGTATAAGATTTATAAAGAAATGTAAGCTTTTTTGCTAATTAATCATTAAATCTCAAGTCATTAAGATTTTATTTATTTATTTTAAAAATGAATATAATTTTTAAATACAGAATAATTTATTAATATTTACATTAATATGGATTTCATACATAATGTATTTATTCATAAATATACTATATATAAAGCGATTAGTTTTGGACAAATAGAAATTTCCTATTGAAAAATTTCCAAAAAAATTCTACAACAAAAATTTTTCTAAATATCAAAATTCATGTTTAAAATAATTAAGATTTAAGTATAAATACWATCAAAAATTAAACAAAAAACATATAATTATATACATGTTTTTTGTATATATTTATATTTCATACTATACCAATTATGCATATTAACAACAAAATTGTATTTTTTTGTATCATATTTTAAAAATAATATTTATTATTATTTATAGCATTAATTTTTATAAAAACTAATATAATTATTATTATTAATCAATTTAATTTAGTTGCCATGTCTATTTTCATAAAAATACTGTATCAAYTAAGTTTTATTATTTAAATGTTTATATAAATGTTATAAATATTTAAAATAAATCATATTTATTTTATTATAAAAAGAAAACAATTAATATTAAACAGAAAATAAATAAATATTTCAATTAAAAGCATGAAAATTATTAATGTAGACAATTAAATAAATTTTCAAAATTATTTCATATTTTTCTAATATAGTCATAATTAGTAATACATTTTCTATTATTTTTATCAAAATACTTTAAATAGAAATTAAAATATTAATATAAATTTATATTAATAATAAAATAATTCAAATAAAAAGAAATTTATTTTGAATCTTTCACATTATGTTTTAGTTAATGTCTTTTAATATAACAATCAAAATGCTTCTATATATTGATAAATTGATAAAAATATTTTTTTTGTGAGTTGATTATTAATATATTTAATTACATTGATTTTATTATGTGCCATCAATTGATTAAATTACAAAAATAAAATAATATATATACTGAGTATTTCATTATAACATAAAATTAATTAATAATTTTATTGTTATTTATAAGAATATGAATTATAATTGAATTTTAAGAATTAATCTTAAATAATATAAAAATRTATTAAAAATATTAGAGTTTAGCTAAGTTTTTATTATAATTACAACGAGATTTATACTTAATTTTTATATAAATAGATTTACAAAAGTTATAATTTATATATTTTATGTTTCATTAAACAAAAGTGATTTTTTCTTAAATTTTTTTAGAAAGTTATTTCGAAAACACTGCTAAATAACAAAAATAATAGTAATAAATGTTTGCTATTTATTATAAATTATTTTATCAAAAATATTTGACAATTCAGATATATATTATTTTTGTAAATACTTGATTTACACTTGCATTAGATAATTATGTTTTTAAAAATATTACTCAAAATCAACAAAAATAAAGACATTTTCTTAATATTTTTTTAAAAATAAATGTTTTTAAGTCACGCAAAATATAAACCAAAATTCAAGTGTCAATAAAACGAATATTTTTGTTGATTTTTTCAAAAATGCTGATTTTGAGTCTATTATGCTATTGTTTCTATAAAATGACATTTTATTATATCTAATAAAAACAAAAAATGTTATCAAAATTGAGAAAAATCATTATAAATACTTTTACACTGTATTGTCATTTATTTGTAAATAAGATTTATATAATTTTTTTTATTATAAAATAATTACATAAAATAATGATTTGTCTGTTTTGTTTGATATACTAAATCATAAATATTATAATTTTTATTTAAATGTCTATTTCTAAACAGTTTTCTTTTCAATCTAAATAATATTTATATTGTTGAACACATAAATACTAATATCTATTTAGTATATATTTTAATCAAATGAAGTTTAAAATATTGAGGAATAGTTGCAGTTATGAAAATAATTTTCAATAATTTTTATTTATTTTATTTGACTAAAATATCTCATACTTTTCATGTAATTAAACATTTATTTTTGCAATAAAGTTTACACTACAGTATCTATTTTATCATTAATTATATATTTTTTTGTTATTGATTTTATGTTTCATATTTACATTTATCATTATCACTGACCGTTGAATACCTATCTTTCCTGGAACTGTCTGTCAGTGATCACAATCAGTGACCMCTCAATATCCTCGACCGGTCAATATCCTGGTTACAGTWGGCATTATCATCATAACATATACATGCCATTCCCATCCATAACAATATATATAAAAATATTGATAAATTTAATATTTAATAATATGATATAATTCTAATATATACATAATATATATATACTGTATATAAAGCTCACAATAAATATCTTGATATAATATTTATTAAAATCGTAAATATTTGTATTATTAGACAAAATATTTAACAAATTGTTTGTTATATTAATTATATTAATGAGTTAAATAAAAGTTTCAATAGTTATAGTTAATAGCATTTAAAAATATATATCTATAATAGCAAATGATTTTGCTTTACAAATGAATTTACAATTAATTAAATGATAATTAAATGATAATTGAATGAAATGAATGGTTCGCTGAATATTGAATTAAATGAATATATTCTCAYATTTTTAATAGTGTTTAATATTATGCATTCATTTGAATTTATACTCTATTTTCATAAGCAGTCGATTATAATATAAGTTAATAAGTTTTAGTGACTCAACTCAAGACATACTCAGAGACAGACATACAGTCAGGCAATAGCTCTCAAACCATGTGTTTAAGTGTTGCATCTCTTAGACTAACGATTACCTCTCTTTCTGTACAAAAATTTTATCACAAATTGTTATTTAAGTGTTTATTTGTGTGAATAGTTTTCTCTAATAACATATTAATATCATTTTTTATTAACATATATTTTATTTAAATTTTAATATAAACTTATTTCTTTTGAATACAACATTCAAATATTGTAATAATTGATAACTTTTATTAAATAAAGTATATTATCGTTAAATTTTATTTATAGTATACAGTAGTTTAAACTTTAATTAAACTTTAATTATTTATTATATTATTTATTATATTATTATATAGTATAACATTTATTATAATAGTATTGATATTTTTAATCAATAATTAATTTTATAAAATATATGATTTACACACAAATGTTTCACAGATCTCTCATTATTTTTTTGCCAATAAAACTAATTTTTAATTGAAAGCTTTTATTAAAAATTAATTAATTCTTAAAATTTACATTAATTAATATAAAGTTTATTTAACGCTTAATATTAAACTCATGTTTTTGATTGATTAAAACGTTTATTCATAAAAGTTGCAAAATGTAATTAATTTTTTATTTAAATAAAATCTCATAAAATAGCTATTATTAATATAAAATATAAGTGTTATGTCTGTAATGTTTGTTTTAGAGAAACTATTGTTTTCATTAAATGATTTTTACGATCACTGGTTTGACTTTATTAAGTGCATTGTATTGTAATTGTGCTAAAACCAGGTAATAAYAATTGTTTAAAAAGTACTGTTGTTTTAAACTTTTAATTAAATTATAATTATTTTGTTTTTCTATTAATTATTTATCAATAAAAGTTTCGGTCGTATAAAAGYCAATGAATCGGGAGATTTGGCCCGCGATTTGGCGCGGACTCAAAATATTAATATAACCGACTTATTGGATCAAATACTTCTGGGATATGATAATCACATTAGACCTGACTTTGGTGGTGAGTGTCATAACTTATTTATATTAATATATTTTGAATAAAATATTTTTTCATTTTATTTGMATTTATTAAATTGTATTTTAGTATATCKTATAAAATTTGCAAAATAATATATAAATATTTTTAAATTCAATAAAACTATTTGTTATAAAAAAATTCTTTAATTTTTTTGGATATTAAAAATATAGAAAATATAAAATTTGAAATAAACAATTTCAAACAATGTATTTTATTGAATTATTTGCTATGTATTTAACAAAAAAATATATTTGATATTAAACCAAACTATTATTTTATCATTTTTATTGTTTCATATTATAGAAGTATTGTATTGCTTTTGGCTATATACTAATGAATACAAAAATTATGTGAATTTTTAAACTTTATGAAAACCTTTATGAAAATCAAGTATCCAATGCTTTGAGCTGTTTATCAAAWTTTTATATCAAAACCTTTCAAACATATATTTTATATCTCAAATATASACTAAAAATCTTTAAACCTATTGCATACTATACTGTATATACGGTAGCAATAATAGTAAGATACTGTATTATATCATTTATTATTATTATATTTATTTTCATTTTTTTATTGTATTATATTTAGTGATCTGTTTATTATTATTTTATTATATCTATCATATCTATAACTAAGTCGTTTGAAAGTTTAAATGAAAAGATTGAGTGATTAATCAGAGTCTCAATAAATGTATAGATAAGGAAAATGRATGAATTGATTGGATTTTGTCGACAATAGTTATGTTGTCGAGTGATACAAAAAAAGTAAGATTTATTTGCTTTCAATAAAATACTGATTAGTTTAGATGTATAGTCAATGTTTGAATGGTTAAGGCTTTAAGACATTGCATGTGATTTGCATCTGAAATCCTATTTTAGACAATAAATGTGTCTGTATTTTAGCCATATTTTGCTTAAACCAATTTTTGTGATCAAACAAAATAAAGTTATTTAAAATAATATTTTGATGAGAAAAAGCCTCACAAGACTGACATTTTATGACACAACTGCTTACAAAGCAATTTGACACAACTGTACCATTGAATAAGGGATTGTCTTATATCTTAATATACAGATATCTTATAGAGTATTATATATTATACTGTTATCATAATATGCCTAACAATATATGCCTCAAACCTCATATTATTAATATAGATATATTCAATATATTGCATGTACTATGTCTTCAATGATTTTGTTGATCCAAATTACACTCATAACACTTATAATACCTGAAAATCAGCATTTCTTGAGTATTAAATATTTTCTGCAAAATTTAGTTTTTTATAAACTATTTATTGATATTTTGAACATAAAGTTTTTTATCATTATAAGTAAACTATTTGAATAAATAAAGTCAATATTTTATCATTTTTAATATTTTAAAAAATCAATAATTTTTAAATAGAATATATTAAAATAAAATAATAAATTTTTGTTTAGTTTTTCATTATGTTATTTTGTTATTAAATAAATTTAGTTTTAATCAAATTAATGATTACAACAATTTATGTCATATATGATATACAGTATATTAGAATAATTATAATAATTACATTTAAAAGTAAATTAAATATTAGGAATTAATAAAGTATTGTGTTTAAAATGTTTAGGTCCTCCAACTCAGGTGTTTATTGATTTTCATGTGAGAAGTATGGGTCCAATATCTGAGATTGATATGGTATGGTATGAAATATATATATATATATATATACTGTATATGTATTATTAGTAATGTTTATTTACTACAGTATAACTGCTAGTTATGATATTTTTTAGTGTATATATATTTATATATATATCAATATTTGTAAAATTTATTTAGTATTGATTTTGTGTACACTTTGATTGCAATCATTTTTTCCAGACATACGTAATGGACTGTTATTTTCGTCAGACTTGGACTGATAAGAGACTATCGTATAGATATCGGTCTGCAAAGGAAAGGGATGGCAACAAAACATTGACAGTCCCTGCGTTAGCCCTTTCCATATATATGTTGGACAGGATTTGGAAAGTAAGCACTGATTTAATCATTTGAGTGAAACTATCGATCAATTCATGTAGTATTCATAACAACAACACTTAAGATTTATTTTTATATACAGTAGTATTAACACATAAAATGTATTTAACATATAAAAATTGGTTCATTAAACATAGCATATATTACATGAATTAAATTGTTGTTTATTTGTTACAAACTTTATATTTAAGATAAACTTTATAATTGAATTGAACAAATTAATGTTTTATTTTTCCAGCATTTATTTTTATAGATAAATATTTAAGTTATTTTAATAAAATAATAGTATAACAAAATAATAAATATATTTATAAAAGTGGGGAAAATACTATTAAAAATAAATTTAGTTGAAAAATATGAATGATATATATATATATAAATTGATATATATATATATATATAAGCTGATAATGTTATGTAAATCTATGAATTAGCACTTAAATTGCTTTTATTTATAATGTTATCTCAAATGCAAAGTATAGCTCTTAATGAGGCTTTAGATATGAAAGTATAAACATTGAGAATCTGTCACTCATTCCTGAACACCACTAATGTTATGATACTATTTATTGTATGATATCTGTAAATAACAGCACAAAAAAAAAGATTTAAGAGTTGATATATTAAACTAAATAAAAGACTACTAAATGATATAAACTATGGATTTATTGTATTTGATGACAGCCTCCGACCTATTTCTTGAACAGTCGACAGTCACATATGCACGTCATAACACTTCCCAACAAATTTGTTCGCATCTATTCTGACGGCAAAGTCCTATATTCTTCCAGGTATTTGTCGTATCGGTTGAATCTCATTGAATACAGATTTTCATTTATATCTGTTATTTATAAACTTTATAAACTGTAWATACTCTATAGGATGACAATCACTGCTAACTGTCCCATGAATTTAGAAAACTTTCCAATGGATACACAAGTAATAAACATAAGTTAGATATATTATTTAAAAAATAAAAAAAAATATTAATTATTTCAACAGAGATGTCCACTGGCTTTAGGCAGCTGTCAGTTTGATATAAATATTTCAATGTCTATATATTTAATTTAAAAATTATTAAACAGTCGGTTATTCACAAAGAGAAGTGGTTTATAATTGGAATCCCGACCGAAAAGTGGTCATAAATCCCGATATGAAGATGTCTCAGTTCGACCTCATAGCAGTTCCCGTCTCAAACCGAAGTAATGATGGACGCAAAGGTTATAAATTAAAATTTTAAAAAATGTGATTAAAATGCTTAAACCGGACCAAACAGATGGTCCATATTCTATACTTTTGGCCAGTTTTCACTTTCAGCGACATATGGGCTCATTTGTCATTGAAGTATATGCGCCCTGTATTATGTTGGTTGTCCTTTCATGGGTCAGGTAATGTATATATTTTTATAATAGATAACAAAACACGTCTAATATTATAATTTTATTGTTTTTTGTTTGTAAAGCTTTTGGATTAACAGAGAGGCAACAGGTGTTTGCTATATATTGCAAATTTAATTTWAAAATAAATTTAATCTTATTGTTTAATAGTCTCACTAATTATATAATTTCTATTTAAATGACAAAATAGCCGATAGAGTGACTTTAGGTATATTTATTGAATTGTTGGCAATTTTTATTTATATAAAATATGATAGTTATTAATGTTTATAATAATAGGTTTGACAACTGTGCTTACGATGACATTTTTAGGTCTAGAGTTGAGGAACGACCTACCAAAAGTGCCCTAGTATGTTTATCAATATGTTTATCAATATGTTTATCAATATGTTTATCAATATGTTTATCAATATGTTTATCTATATGTTTATCAATATATTTATCAATATGTTTATCAATATGTTTATCAATATGTTTATCTATATGTTTATTAATATATTTATCAATATGTTATATTCAATATTATTTAAGCTATTTATTAGTATATTGTAAGTCATAAGTTATAATTGTGTCTTTCATTGTGTAATAATATATACCGGTATTGATATCCACAATATATTATACTCAACATAAGTGTTAACTGAATTTTGGATGAAACACTAAAATCAATACTTTTTTCTCATTCATTGCAAAAATATAATGAAAAGTCTGACAGCACTCGACTATTTCGTGTACATATCGTTTGCATTCATTTCTGCCACAATTCTTGAGTTTGGTTTCGTTCACTTCTTCACTAAAATTGGTATTTGTTTTGCTGTTATCTCTTGAGTACTGCTATAACCATAACTTACTGTTTATTGGTTTCAAAAAATAACATCTCTTGGATTTAGGTTCGGGTGAGTATTACTTTTCTCCGTCCTCTCTCTTACAACTCGATAACACCGACGCCGACGATAACTATTCAAGCGATGAGGACGACTATGAAGAGGACGGCGCACATACTGTACATAAAGTTATGACAACTGGACACAGACCTGAATGCAGTCATTACAACAAGAGATTGGATGTCAGTCCTGTCAGTACTAAAGATAATATTTATGTACACAACGTTAGAGATGTCCTTAAAGATAGTCCAATGATTGTAAGTTAACTGTCGCTTTCATTGGTCAGACATTTGAGACAAAATTACTAAACTATTTAATGAAAATTATTGTCACATTGAAGCCTACGTTATATCCTAATGAATGGCTAAACCATAAGATTTTATGTCTTGAAATCATTAATTGTATATATTTTATGAGTTGAATACAAATTAGAGATTTTATTGGATTTGTTTCAATAGCTATTAAAATGACACTCAGTATTAAGTTTAACTACAAATGACTGCACAGTTAGGTTAGATGAATGCATGTTATCTAATACTCGTTTGTATTGATTGTCAGTTTCATCGACAACAAAGTGAAATCTATTCCACTGAAAGAGATCGCGGAGTAATTGTACTTAAAAGAGATGACAACCCCAGAGTTGGTCTGTCTTCAGGCTCATCATCAACAGACTCACAGCCCAGTGAACACCAACAACAGTATGAATATTCATATGACATACACGAGCCAACCACCAGCACCTATACATATGACGATACATATGTTGATAGTCATCATTCAGTTGGACACCACTCGTCGGCTGCCATTAAACGAGACAATAATAGCCGACAAATKAGCCGTTTGTCATCAATTCGTGCCTCAATTCGGAACACTTTTTCCCGTAAGAAATCACGTCGTCGTCAGACTGTTTCACTTCAGTTGAATAGTGTTTCACAAATCGATCGCATCTCACGAGTCATCTTTCCGTTGGCTTTCCTTATAATGAATTTGGTTTATTGGTATATATTCTTGAGGGCAGAGATGAAGTTTGACAGACAAAACAATTTCATCTAATTTTATCCGCATTTATAACCAATTATTATTATAAATTCATTGAAACCATTCATTAGTATAATAGTATTATTACTAAAAATCTTATTAAATTCATTCACTTATATACTATTTATATTGTAAATTATTTTTATTGATCACATTATTAAATTATAACATACATTAGTGGTATTATTATTATTATTATTATTATTTCATATAAACTTTATATAACAGTACTTTAAACAACTAATTTAGAGTTAATTTTTAAATATTATTTAATAACAATATTGACATAAACTTTACATGTATTTGATATAACTTAACATAAAATCATGAAATATGTCATAAAAATGTGTTTTCATCGCACAAGTGCACAGTTTTATGTTCAATAAAATCAATTATTATATAACTGTGTGATTGTGTGATTATCATATACTGTACTACCGTATAGTAAATACATTTATTTTATAATGTATTTTAAAACTGAAATATCATATTTGTATCAATCAATTTGTTGGAAAAAAATAATCCAATTTATTATAACTTAAGTAGTGTTTTAAGAGATCGTCGGATCAACTAATGGTATATAAATTGATATATCGAGAGTCAATAAAATGATGCATTAAAATCAATGCAATCATTACCACCAGTAGATTATAGTCAAACAGCTCTATAGCTTAGGTATGATTGCCATCAAAAATAAGGTATAACTTTCATACACTATCTCTAAGCCATCATTACATCAAATTCTAGTATTTTCTTAGCATTTTTTTCTCTGTATTAATACTATTTTTGTCACAATTTCTGTGAGACTATTATTTTTTGGTTTAAAAAATCATCAAATAATTGATTTATGTTATAATACAATGTAAAATATAAAAGCAAAATATAGTAAAATTGTGTTTAACTCAAAATATACTATAATAGAGAAGATAATAACTTTTTGGATTCAATTTATGATTTTCAACAAAACTTTTCCCTCTCAGGTATCATATCTAAAATCTTGTATATTTTGATCTCTCAATAATAGATTCACTGAAATTGTTTTAAAATTAAATTTGTTTTTGTCTCAAAAAAGACAATTATAAATATATATATTTCATTGAATAATATAACAAAATACTTTGAATCTCTCATATAATTTCAATTTATTTGCTATTATCGATAAATTTACATTTAATATAAATTTAAGAATATATTCATTATTAGTCTACAGTAATAAACAATAATTAATTACTTACTTTAATATAATAGTTAACAAATCATAAAAGTTTTAATGTACAAACTTAATATATATTTATTGCGAAATTAAAACATAAATAGTATATTACGATATTTACGGTAATTGTCATTGTTTATAAAAATTTATATTATGTAATCATTAATCCGTACATTATTAAAGCTAAATACAGTAATTTTTTAATTACCGGTAATATAATTTAATTATAAAACAGTAACACTAACTGCTAATAAATATATAGATAAATCTTAATTACTKCAAATTTACTGTATATATATTTTATGAAAATAGCAAAAAAGAGTAACAATAAGTAAAAGAGTACATTCAAAGTATATATGTTTTTAATGATAGCAAAACATTAATCATAAACCAATGTTAGTGTCAGTCATACAATAATATGTCGACTAAATAGTGAAGAACCAGTTATTGTGTGAGTGTTTGTCTCTCTAAAGAAGTGTTACATTTTGAACTCACTATTCCTTTCAATAATAAGAAAAACCCAATAAAAGAGATTCAGAAGAATCCAAACAAATGGAAATAATATACGACTGGTTGTGTCGATCATAGAGACACTGTTGGCAGCAGTCAGTCCCTGACCTCTGGCCCGACGGCGTTTCATTTGTGCCTTGTATTCCTGATTAACACTCAAACAGTACCAGAATTGTAGAAAACAATTGATTAGTTTATGTGTCCATCCGTGCGAATGGTGTCCTTCGCTAGCAGTTATCGGGTCGCCAACAGAACAATCGGTAACAGTATTGCCGGTCACGTAATGATTGCCGTATCGGTGAGCGTACTGTGCGTTCAGTTCCATCTCATACTCTAAGTCCTGGTCATCGATGTCTTCATAATTTTCATCGCTTTGATCGTTAATAAACTCATTATTTACATAACGATATCGTTCTGTAAGATATTGTTCAAGACTTTCAAGACGACGCCATTTATCTAATTGGCTGTCCATTGATTTGAAGCCATGTTTTGGACAATATATGTCTTTATACTTCATGTCAAACACTGAAGTCGTGTCGTAAACTCGGCATTTGGCGGACCGACGGCGAGATGATAATCGTCTCTTTTGATCCAATCTGTAAGTCTGACAAAAAATACAATTAAGCTATAAATGACTAAAACATTTACTAATTGACACCAAAATCACCCGAAAGTGATCCCCAAAGACAACAACTGTTCCACTCTTTCCTATAATTTACAGACCATTACATGACTGATAAAATCGTCTGCAAATCATTCATAAGATTTTGTCATTAATTATAAGTTATAACCAATCATTTGGTGAACAATTGATTGCATTTTAATATTACTATTATTACTAATAAGTGTTTTAATCAAATAAAATATAATTAAAAATTAATTCAATAATAAAATTTAATTAATTAATTAAAAACTAATTAATAATTAATAAATAAAAGTATTGTTTGTATTGAAGTGATTGTAATGAGTATTGAGTAACACGTGATGTACACTAAACATAAATTATTTGTTGGGTTAGAACAAACTCGATTTTGAAAAATATAAGCTTTTTAAAATATTTATATTACAAAAAGTATAGTTATATAAATTATATAAAATGTGCTATTAACATTTAATTTTTTAATTATAAAATAAATCATTTTTGATACCATATTATCATGTATTTATTTAAAAATAACTGCGACATCATTTAATACATTTTATATAATATATTTAATAACTATTTAGTTACACTAATAACAACTATTTAATGTAATATACATAAATCAATACACTAGTAATGAGTATTGAGTAACACGTGATGTATATCTCAACCAATGAGAAGAAATGGAACGAACATTGAATCGACTGTTTTGTCCACAGAATCGATCATTTGATGAGTCATTGAGTGATTGATTGACTCAATCAGTCAATTGTTATACAAAACCATTGTTTCAATCATTGGATCAATTRTTTGGTGACATTTCATGGACTCAAACACAGACAACAGTGACCGCAACAACAATCAAATGGTCATCGATTACAATCCATTCGATGACATTCAACCCAATCGGCCGACCGTTTGGAGAGTCGATATGTTTGAGCATTCATTGCCACCACTGATGCCCATCGAGTTGACCACCGATGACAACATAAATGTCAACTCATCGACAATAGAGTCCATCGATAACAACAACACTAACGTAAACATGAGTTGTTGTATACAACCRGTAAATATGAACCAATTATCTCAACAATCGATGCAATGGTTGGGTTCGGGAGACTGTCAACAGTTATGGCCCGTCGATCCGTTTGTTGTACAGACCAGTAGTGGTCATAGTATTGGACAAACTATTGAGCCAAAGAAAAGGCGACAAAGAATGTCCAGTAAATCACTAAATTTGGTTAAATTTCCCGAAAAGTTGTGGCAAATTGTAAACGAATGCACTACCGGTGCTATTGAATGGTCGCCGACGGGCGACTCAATTCGTATCGATTATAATCTCTTTCAGAAGCAATACTTAGACGATTGCTATCACTTTAAGACGCAAAACATTTGTTCATTTGTACGCCAATTGAATTTATATGGATTTTACAAATTGTCCAAAAAGTCTAAACATAAGAAAGATGTCAATATTGATGACAATCAACAACAACAACAACAACAACAACAAAATGAAAACAATGACAACAACGACAATGAATTACATATATTTAAGAATGACTTCTTTACTCGCGATAACCAAAATTGGTTACCAAAGGTTTATAGAAGATATTCGGCTAACACTTTACGTACGGCCAGTGATCGCAAAGCAAGAAAAGCATTGAATACAATAAACGGTGTAAACAATCGCAACACTACTATCACTACCACTACTATTACCGGTAATTATAACAAACAAATTAATGAAACTAAAGTGAAACGCAAGTATCGGCGCAATAGACAAACAAAAGGTTCGCCAAATATCCGCAAAACACCGATTCTCAGCCAGAGTTCCGATTGGTTTAACTATTATTCACATAATTTGATATTCAGTTGTGACAAAAATAACAATTTGTTAGCATTTTCTGGCGATACTAGTGTTGACAACATATCCACTAATAATAATAATGAATCAATTTTTGATGTGTAATGTGATCTAACGTTTTGAAAGACCACTCCATAAGCTTATAGTACTTGTGATATAATATAATACTGTTTATTATTTTTTATTTATTGAACTTATTTATTGCTTGAGATATTTATGATTTATTGTTATAGTTTTTTTTAKTAATTTCTATAATCTATAGTTTTTATTTTATATCTATTTATTTGTCTTCAAAATAAGATTTTTATTGTGTGTTATGACATGACATGTATTTATTTATAATTTATTTATTGTGAATAGTTTTGTTATTTAACTAAATATTGAATTTTAGTTTATAAATTRAATTCTGTAAATATGACTATTTATTAAAATGTAATATAAAATAAAATATTTTTTTAAAACAAAATTCCTAGAATTTTAATTAGAGATACAAAGTTATTGTAAATATTGACATTTATTTSAAATATTTTAGACTTTTTTTGATTTACTTATTTTATATCTTATATATTGTATGTATTATATGAGTTTAGACTGTTAGCTATCGGCAAAAATGTTTCAAAAATATACTCCAATATTATTATTATTACAAAACTAGCCGACAATCAAGTTTACAATAAATGAGTAAATCATTAAAAAAGACTAACAATTTATATATGATATGTGAGTAAAATTGAAATTTTAAGATCTCTTTTATATTAGATTTAATGTTTGCCTTTAGATTAAATGTCGTTAAGCATAGTGTTTGTTAAGTAATGCGATATAATAGTGAAATCAAACTTTTAGTTCAAATAATAGGAATTCATAGAAAACAATCGTTTGAGTTAACAAAACATCAAAACATTCAAACAATAAAATTAAGTTATTTTTTGTTAAACATGTTTCGCAAAGATTTATACAAATATTCTTATAAAAATAAAAATTAATAAAATATTATATTTTAAATATATTGCAAATATTTACTTAACAAACATTAATAAATATTAAAGAAAATTTGAATTCAAGCCGACAATCACTGGAATAATTAAGTTTAGTATAATTTTAGAAAAATTACTGTAGTTTCGTAATATATTAGTATTGAATGCAAGTGTACAATACTATACAGTATATAAAAGCTATTATTATATACTAAATTAATTTTTTTATCAAATCTACAAACTATTGATAAACTATTTGAAAACCACAGATGAATGTGAAGTGAATTTACAGGTATATACCGTTTGTGTGTGTGTGTGTGTGTGTGTGTTATGATATCAATTGAATGGTCAATCAAATGGATTGGATTGTCGTATAAGAAAGTTAGTGAGCTTTTTGTAAAAATATATCAAATAAGATCTATTGAATAGACTGCTGTAGATGTAATGTTAATAATAATAATGTATAAAAATATTATGAAAAGTTATTATTGATACTAATATTAATGGTATATTAGATATTGAATTACTGTTTAATACAATAACCTTTTTCTCGTCGTTTTGATAAGCCTTTGGGGGTTCTATTATATTCAATGGATTTTCATTGTCGGAGTCATACTTTTCCTGAGCCCAGTCCTCATCGATTGCATTGAATGGCACCTCTCCTTAYAATATAAATCAATATACAGTAAATTGTTAGTTATACGATATACCTGTTTTTTAGATTCGCACATTTGTATCAATTTTTAAAGCACCAAAAGTATCGGAGTTTTTGCTAATTATTATACAGTACATACCGGTTCCCACTTTAGTAAAGTAATGCACGCCAGCGAACTCCAATAGACTGAATACCACAAACAGAAAACAGATTATTGTAAACCAATCCAATGCTGTGGCATAACTGTGTCCATCAAATAAAAACCATACAATTAATTAAAAACAAAAGTTGATTATCACTAAAGACAGGCACTAATGACAGGCTATACCTAACGCGAGGCAAATCACTTCTGGAGTCCAAACCAAAGGTCGATAGTGTGAGAACTGATGTAACGCCTAATGAAAAAGTTTTAGACAAATAAAAAAGTTATTTTATTTTATATAAAAACAAAAAAAGTTTATTGATATTTACAGAAACGTTATTTTCAATAGAAAAGAACTTAACGAAAGCAAACAAATAGATATTTGATAACAATTTAATTTCCATTTGTTTTTTGTAAAAATATTTATTTTTAAAATATAAAAAATTTCAAAACTATACTATCATTATATATTGATACACTATTACTGATTTATACAAATTTATAAACATCATCATTGAATGTTTAAATTTTTATAAGGATAGTAATTGAATTTTTGAAAATAAATGTAATACTAATAATTCAAGTAGAGGTAAATAATAATTAAATATATAAAATAATGAATAATAAATATCTAAATACTGTATACCTATTATTATGCACTTAGGCTAATATCATATGCATTATTTTAGTGACTGAAAGACAAAATTTATTTAAATAAGAGTATAATGTATAAAAATGTATTTATTATTAATGTATAATAAATATACATTATTTATAAAATTGAATAATTTAAACTAAACTAAACTTAATAACATAGCATAACATAGAGTAGTGATTATTAATTTTTTACATTATAGTATACAAAATGAATAAAATATATGAAAATTTAATAAGATTTACCTAAACCAACGCGATCTTCAATAATTTCAATTGAATTATATTATATTTAAAAAGAAAAACATTTTAAAAATTAATTAGAAATACATTTTAATAATGATACCAACAAATTATCATTTTCAAGCATACCTGCAGTTGCTTCTCTTTAAACGTATTAATTATAAAATAAATTAAATGTTAAATAAATAATTTATTAATGTCAGTGAGTTATATATATAATTTATATACCTATTAATCCAAAATGAGACCCAAGAGAGTACAACAATTAGAGAACAGGGAACATATATTTGGATGAGAAAGTAGCCAACGTGTCGACGCAAATTGAAGTTAGCCTGGAGCATTGAATAATTACCTTTAAAAATAAACAATAATACATTTTTTCACTATATATTGTCTTTTTATTGAACATTCCGTTAGTATACCAACCTCTTTGAAATCTAACGGTTCCGTTTCGGTAAGGAGTTGTTAACAAATCAAATTGAGATAAAGAAAAGTCACCAAAACTTAGTGGATTGCTGTCCCAACTGTACACTATCTGGTCGTTTGGATAGCCGTCTATTGGATTGCCATTCAATAGTTATACAAGTGATTCAATCGATATATATTTGTTTGGTTTTTAAACAGTCAGCAAAACAATACATAAAAATGTAAAATAAGAATAATGAAAGTAAGTGTGAAATTTATTATAACAAATATTGACAAATATTTTTGTAAACATTTAATGCCAAGTATTTCAATGGACTCACAGCTGCCAAAAATAAGTGGACAACTGATAGCATAAATTTTGACGAAAAGATAACATAAAATATATAATGTTTTTTAATATTAATTTTTTAAAAGTATATTTATAAGTACAGTACTTACCTTTGCTTATCCATAGGAAAGTGATGTAAATCCATGGGACACATAGATTTAATGGTCAGCCTTAAAAAATAGTACAGTATCTATAGTACAGTATATTATAAACCATTTATTACTTACATAAACCAAATAATAAAATTTATGATAATCAATTTTCTACTAAAAATCAATAACTAAAAAACTTGATATTTGAAATCTAATAATGTCAAGTAGTTTATACAGTTCATTTCAATTGAATTTCAATTTACTTAAATAAAATTTAACTTAATATATATATATATATTATATAAATAATCATTAAGGCAACATATAATGTTAGGAAAAAAGAGAGTATAATATCTAAGAAAACGATATATTGAATAAATTGATAAACACTTTTGACCGACAAATTTTGTGTGTTGTTTGCTCTGACTATCATTAAGTAGATATACTTATATAAGTAAAACTCAAGTAAACATTATATAAGGATACAGTAGATATAGTGTATGGAGTAGTCATCAAAATTGCTTATTACTATTTTCAAGCATTATTATTATTATTATATGATACAACTTACAGATTTAAGACAATAACTTAATTAAACATTTAATTAGTTTGGGATTTGTTTGCACACAAACAAAAAACAATTGTTTGATAGAACTATAAATTTTGTTATAGTTTACAATCTATTAATAATTTTGATAATCAATACTTTAATGTTTAAATGTGTGAAACTTTATTGTAAATAAAAATCCAATAAATCAAAAGCTCATAAAATGCATTCAATGTGTAATTCATAGTACTTTATATTAGTGGCTGTCATGACTTGAGGACATTCAGAAGTCCACTAAATAATAGTAAAGTCAAACAACAGATTGATATTTATAGTGATAAATGAGATATAAAACGTTTGTCACTTATGTATGTTATTATACAGTAATATGTATATAACAATAACGATTGAAATATACAATTTGAAAAGTCACATACAGTATAACCTACAAAAATCTGTATGTATGCTCAGGGCTAACATTTATTTTATTAATATATAATAATTATATAATCATTTATTATGAAAATATGCTAAAAATGTCCAAAAATATGTTTGATGCCAAACCTCATTGAGTAGAGCACACCCCCATCCTGGGAGATCCTAATAAATTTGTTGGGACGGGTAATAGTATGTAAATGAGATCCCTTTCCCGTATGAAAATATGTATCCGGCTAAAATATTTATTATTATTATTATTATTATATAGAAATATCTATAAATTTATATACATAACAATAAAAATATATATATTTATACAAACCTTCCATATCTTGTCCAACATATTAATATTAAGGCTCAAAAATTTTGAGGGACCGGAAAACTCCAATCGTTTATCTAACCATTTCTGACGAAAATAGCAGTCAAGTGAATATTCCTATTAATGTTTAAATATATATAACAATTACATTATAACTTTTTCTAACATTTTTATTTAATAAACTTTTATGTATCTATATTTATAAAAACCTGTGTATTCAGATAAAAAAATTGTTAGTGTTAATGAACATTTAAAATTTTATGTTTGTGTTTATTATATATTGATTTAATAATTTCTAAGMATAAGTTTTTTATATTAATTATTTTTTAGTTAAAATATTAATATGATGTAAATATTTAATCCAATTTAATGCTGACAATGAATAAGTTACAACATTTTGAATTATAAAATACAAATATTTTGTTTGTGTGTCATAAAGAAATTGTATGCAAAACTTAGATAACAGTACTATTGATTAAAGTTAGACTACATTTAAGAGTTTATGCTTTTCACTATAAATTATATTACAATACTATGTTTGAGATATACTATACGTGTAATTGTTGTATTGACTGACATATAAATTGAATGTCAAACATAATAAAAAAAATGATTGAATTGATATAACATTGATATAACATGTTTGTAATTAAATACAAGTTTCATACCTATATAGTAAAAAAATTATATTTAAAATATTATTTTTTAAAAATTTATTAATATAAAGTAAATATACTGTATATAGAAAGTACTCTATTTATAGATAAAAATATTTATAATGTATATACAGTATATAAGTAAATTAAAACACTACATAAATACTATAGATAAAAATACTTTATGATAATATTAAAAATTTAAATTTATTGTTACATAAGACAATAATACATACCATATTCAACTCAGATATGGGACCAATACTCCTGATCTCAAGATTTGTTGTAATCACTGCAGACGGACCTAACAATCATTTTTTTAATTTAAAATAATTATATAAATAAAATTTAATTAATTAATTAATTTTTAATCAATTGTTATTGTCTATCTAATGTTATGCAATTTGATTTATACTAAAACAAAAATTATAAATGCAAAATAACCTCCATGTCCAGGTCTTTGATTTTTGTCGTAATCAATGAGTAATTGTCCCAAAATAAGTGTCACTTTTTTGCTTATCTCCAGTGACTCTGATTTATCATTGATTCCGTTGTTGTCGTGTTTAGGCATTTGATGCATCTTATGGGACATCAATGGCTTTGTAATTATATGTTTTTCATTTACTAAAACATGAGTACTGTTTTTTGACTCTAAAATATGCAATTTATTAATATAATTATTGGTTTTATTGATTAAAAGCTGAGGTTTTTCACGAAATTTGTTATTTTGTTGAATAGATTCAAGTGTTTGAAGTGTTGAATGAATTCTTTTTAAATGAAAAAAATACTAATGATTAGCAATTGTTAAAATATGAAATATTTTTGAGAAAATATATATAAATCGTTTATAATAAAAATATATTTTAGTTTATAACTCGCGGCTATATTTATTAAATAAATCTCTAATTTGCTATTATTTTATAGTACCGAAAGCAAATCAATTGAAATAATATCTGTCGTATTAAAGTTAAAACATATTTAAAATATAAATATTGAATTGATAATATTAATATTTTATAAAAAATATTTTTTTAAAATAAATTATTTGTCAATTTTATTGACAGTCTTTATATATATATATATATATATATATATATATATATATACTGTATATACACTTTATAATAATGTTTTTTGCGTTATATAATATTTTATTATATATTTGTAAAATTTTATCTAATTATTTATATAATATATTTTATTCACTTAAATTAAATCACTTTTAACATTGGTAACACTATAAACATGATTAATGCTATTATACAGTACAACACGTGTTTGAAAAAGAAACACAACTTTCCTCTACAAGCACTTGGAGTCAATGATAATATCGATATTTAGTATTAAACATTACATACCATACTATTTTGTACAGTATTAGTATATGGTATATAATATACTATATACTGTACATAATTATATGTAAATTTATAGTTTTTTTTATATTTTATACAATGTAAGCAATTATTGTGGTTTGGGATCTAAATGAGTCATGAGATAAGTAATAATTTAATTTTGTTATTAATAAAATATTTATTAATTATGTATATTAATAAAAAAATTAATAGACTTGTAATGAGTTGAATCAAAGTACAAAAATAATTTTTCATAATTAAATAATGAATAATGTATATAATTAGTAAAAATATTTATTTCTTAATAATATTGAATTGGGCAAATTAATAAATATTATTTAATAAATTATATTATACAGTATATATACAAATAACTATTTATAAGTTTTATATATAAAATCTAAAGTATATATGTATTAAGTATGTACTGTACATATGATGTATTAAGTGTTTATAAAGATTTATTCTTATATATTTATAATATAATATTTGCGATCTGTATTATGATGTTTAATACTATAAAATTGATTTATTAATATTATTTATTATATAACAAATGATTAATATAAGGGAATAAATAAATGTAAGTCATATTATTTTCATAATAAATAGTAAAAGCATTTGAATATTAGTTTTAATAGATATAACGGGTTGTCTTTACAAGTTGTCAAAGCAAACCATATTTACGTTAATGACTTTTGACAATCGTTTGTCTCATTTAATTGCAAAACACTTATATTATTTGACAAATCACTGTCTTAGCAAATAAATTCATTTTCAATGAGTTTTCATCATATAATACATTTGCCAAACAAGACGTGCCATTCAATAGTTTTTTGTCTGTTAACACAACTGTCACACGAAATGAAAAAACTTCAATTTAATTAATTTACACCAATTTTGTCAACCAATTATTTAGTAACAATATATTATGTACAAAAAAATAAGTTTAGATACAGTTTACTGCCATTAGTAAATTGTTTTAAAATAGCATTCATTAAATTTTATATCTAAAATAAATAAAATACAAGAATATTAACAAACTGTGAAAAACAATATATAAAATGACATAACAGTAATTCTGTATACAAATAAAAAAAACCGTATTTTTATTAGTTTACTGTATATTCAAAATTAAATGATTTTATTTAATATAAAATTCATGAATGTTAGACATTATATACAAAGGCATCGAACACAGTATAGAAGCCATTAATAGAGTGATAACAGTGATGGATAAGAATCATAGATATATATATATATATATACAGTATATAAGTTATGGTTGTATTGGGATGTGGTGTGAATGCGGTCAGACCTCAAATGAATGACTGGTTTCTCCAAATAAAACTTAATTAAAGAAGTGTTTTCTTTTAAATTATTTTCTTATATTAAACCAATTAATTAATTAATTACATAAATCTAAATAAAGTAACCAATTGTTGTAAATCTTGGAGAATAATATAATAATAAAGAATGTATTATACATTATAATTATTTAATTATGTCACAAATTAATTATATACTTTTTTCGTATTAATTGGTTGACAATTATTTGTTAGTTTTATTAACTATATTATTAAATATGCTTAATTAATAATTAATTATAATGATTAATTGTTGAAAATTATAATTTTAATAATATTTGGATTAAAAATTTATAGTAAGATGTTTAATATATCAAACATTTTTAACAAAACATATCGGAAATGATTTTTTTGTTTACCCAACGATAAACAACTTTAGGAAATTTTATCGGAAAATATCGTAATTTTATCTAATCTTTTGTTATTTAAAAACATATATAGAAATCATAAATTAATTTCCGTTTACAAAATAACTGAAAACAATACAATTATAACTTWAATTATTTAATTATATCAATTATTGATTGAAAAAAAAATTTATATAATATGCCAAAAGTTATATTTCTTTATAAATTTTTGTTATTATACAATATATTTTATTATTTGAGTGAATGAAAAGTAATCAAATATGTTTTATCGCTTATTTGTTAATATAATTTACTATTGATTTCTAGACATTATTTCAGAATTTGTTTATTCAAATATAAATATTTTTTTATACAAGACATCTGTCATCTCAAGTGTGACATAATTTGAAGACTTCATATTACACTTAAATATTATGAAGTATTTTATTTTAACAATTTTATATAAAATTTAAATTTAACAAAATTTTTGAAATAATTTCATTTGTTTAGTCATTAAAAATATCATAAAAATTATATAAAAGTTATTTAGTAAAATATAAACTTATTAATAATTTTAAACTAAATATTGATATTTAAAAAAATAAATTTTATTTTATAAAATCATTCATAGAGAATATTCTGTTAAAGTAAACACATTTAAAACAAATACTTTTAATGTAAATAATTAACAAGTTTTTATACAAAAAATTATAGTGAATTGCAATTTTTATTTTATAATTAATTTGGCGATCAATAAATATGAGACAATTGTTTTGTTTGATTAGTGTGTTTGCAATACTTGTATAACTAAATACAAATGAATACTTCTTTTGTCAAACAATTACTCATTGAATGAAAATTCATTTATTATTAGTAAATATGTTTTGTAATACTCGTTGATTAATAGCATTAATATAAATTTATATCTCATTTATTAGTTTTATAGTTTAATCACTCAATTTTATATTATATATATATATTGTTAGACTATTTGTGTTGTTATTGTTAGCGATTTATAGAAAAAAATCTTTAAATAAACAATACATAAATAGTTTATTAGAAATGATTTTCTAAAAACTTAGATAACAAATGTGTTATTTATTGATAAGATGTTCAAAAATATAGTAAATAATTTAATTCAAATCTCATATGAATAATAAATTCAAATATTTTTCTAAATAAATTAAAATTTATATAAATTTATATTTATACAAAAGCATTGCTTCTTAGGAAATATGTTGAATGTCTTTATATATTTCACATAATATACATAAAACAACAATAATATTTTGATTTTACAATAATAAAAATAGATACTTAAAAAAACTTTTTTTTATTAACTAATGCATTATCAAAATATTTGCTTTATTTACAATAGTATATGTTTTAAAAGACACTGTAAAGTATATTATAAAAATATATATATATATATTTATGTTTACCTGATTGTRTGTATTGATGATGTTAGTAATAATAATAATAATAAGTATGCTAAATATTTTGAAATCATTTTAATATAACAAAATTAGTTTTATAATAATTATTATTATTATAAAAAATAAATATTAACAACAATTATACAAAATAAAAGTAATTTTTTAAACATTTTAAACCCGATATTTTAGTAGTTTATTAAATTAAAACTTTTATATATAATATCTATAGCGTAGAGTTGTATAGAGTTGAGTGAAATTGAGAGACAAACTCAAAATAAGACTCAAAATTGTTTCAATAATACGACTATTATTATGAAGTGTTGTGTAACGCATGTGTGGGCTCTCAACGCGTTATAATAATAACTGTTTTTTGAAATCAAAACGCTTTAAGACTATTCAGTAAATCTAAAAGTAATTCACTGGTTATTACTTTATTGAATCTATATTTTAAAGTTTTATATTTAATAAATTATTTGTCTTTTAAARCTATATTTTATTATATTTATTTACATTAAAAACAGTATTATAAATGATTTCATTTTTAAATATTAAACTCTTCATAATAGTTGAATAATAGATATTTTTGTTTAATTAAATGTTTACTTTGTTTATATAAATTAAAAATATTTATGTTATATTTTTAATTTAAGCTTTAAAATACAGATATTTAATGTGTTGTTTAATATAACAATACAATAGAAAAACTATATTATTATATAACTTATATAACCTTTTATATAATTAATTAAAAAAATAAAATATGACATTTWAAATAATTTACTTTTTTTAGATAATTAATTCAAGTATTGTTTTCAAAATTACATTAATATTTTAAAGTAAAAAACCATAAAATTTAAACTAAAAATRTTCATTAAAATATTTAACTACATATATATTTATATACTGGAATAAGTATTCAAATATAAGTGACTAATTAGTTTGCTATGATTTATATATATATATATAATAATGTATTRATTGACATAATATTTTATAATAATATACAGTAAAGTATTTCTTCTATATTTAAAATAAATTTGAATGTCATATACTATTATGTGGTCTTATATATAAAAAGTAATATAAACAATAAATTARAAAATTAAAAAATATGGGATTACCATKATATATTTTTTTGGTATGGCAATCATATTATTAAAACTTTTTTATTTTATAAAAACTGGCAAAATAAATGAATTTATGCTAATTTTGAAAACAATAAATTACTTTTAATAATAATAATACTGTACTTCGATGAAGTAGATTGAAAGTCAATAATATCATTGATATCAATAGTATTATATATTTCTTAATCTTAGTTATTTAAAAGTTATATWAAATTTAAATTAATATATAATTTAGACTATAAATTGCATTATTTTAAATATATTTGTTTATTTTTATGTAAATAAATAAATAAACTGATTTTTCAAGTAACCTAATTGATAATATACTATATGTTAATTTTTCACAGTAATATGCTATTATAAATTTTTGTTTAAAATAATTTAAACAAATTTTATTTAAAAATTTATGTATCGTATTTAATTGTTAATTTAATATTATAAATTTATTTTTTTAGTTTGTATATTTAAAAATATCTAAATGCAAAATAAAGAGTTATAAAAGTATTTATGATAAACAAAATAACAAAAATAAAATAAAGTTTAGAATTTTAATAAATCAATAATTAAAATAAAAGCGAATTTACTTGGCGTAAACATAAAACAATGTTAATATTATTAATCATATGATATTTTATTAAAATTAAAACTAAATTTTGACATTATATTTACACTTTTTTATTTTTTATTTATTTAGTTTATTATTTAATTAATTATTTATTGACAATAATTATGTCAAAATAATACTTAATTTTTCCGAGAAAATGATGAATAATGTGTTACATATTGTCATACAAGTAGTTCGTAAAATCATTTACACGGAATTGTTGTCACATTTTTGTTATAAATATATTATAACTGACTTTCATTATACTATAAATCTTGATTTAAATAAAACCAAAGAATATAATACTTTATTTACTCATTAATTGCTTAAAACACATGAAATATATTAATAAAGTAATAATACAGTCTAAATATACGTAATATAATATAAATTTAATTAAATTTAGACATTTTTTAATGAAATCGATTATCTTTCTTTCTCTCTCTCTCTCTCTCTCTCTCTCTCTCTCTTTCTCTTTCTTTCTTTCTTTCTTTTTCTCTCTCTCTCTCTTTCTCTCTCTCTCTCTTTCTTTCTTTCTTTCTCTCTCTCTCTTTCTTTCTCTCTTTCTCTCTCTTTCTTTCTTTCTTTCTTTTTCTCTCTCTCTCTCTTTCTCTCTTTCTCTCTCTTTCTTTCTTTCTTTCTCTCTCTCTCTCTCTCTCTCTCTCTCTCTCTCTCTCTCTCTCTCTTTATTCTCTTTTTTAAATAAAAAATTAATGAATAATATGTTCGTTATTACAAATGTTATGCCTATTATTTATTATACAAAAATTATTAATTAAGAATATATTAGAACATAGAATAGTAAATTAATTTTATTTAGTTTGTCGATAACACTTGTTGTTATATATTATAGTTATAGAGTATTATGTATTTTATATACAGTATAATATAACAAAAACCTTAACTAAGCAATTAAATACAATTTATAAATTKAATTTATGTTTTCCATAAAATTAATTTTTTTATTAAAGAATATAAACGTAAAAAAATATTTTTGAAACCGTAATTTAATGATAAAAGATTTTTAATCAGAAATATAATAGAGTTAGATATGATATAATAATTGTATAAAAATAAAATGTAAAATATATAGCATTTATTTTTCACAAGTGTCTGACTTCAGGCATAATTTGTTTATAATCATAATAATTGAAATATTGTTATTATTAGAAAAATTATATTTCTAAAACTTACAAAATAAATCTACAAAACAAAAATATTGCATTTTATTATATATATATATATATATACTGTATATAGATATTTATTTAACAGTAAATAAAAGTGAATCACTTAAGTTTACGGATTATAAACTAAAAAAACAAATAAGATTTAATTTCAATTCACGTTTTTTCAAAATAAAGTAAAATATTTTTATATAGTTGACTTGAATTTTATCAATTATCAATCAATCATTTAATAATTATATAAATTAAAATAAAGTAATATTATATATTTGATTTTCTTTCATAAATGATATAATAATAAATAATATATTTTCATCAATTGTCAAATATTGACCAAAAATAATTTATAAATATTCAATAATAAAATGAAATCCATTTCTTAATATTAAAAAATAAAATTCAATCATTCAGTACATTAAACATAAATAAACATGATAAATTGCTATTTTCAAATTTTTGATTGATATTTATTTTGTCGTTAAGTTATTAAAAAAAATAAGTTTATTTTTATTTACATATTAATAATTTCATATATGCTTACATTTAGTGTTGGCAAAAAAGAGAAATTTATAAAATAATAGAGAAATTTCTAGAAAGTTTCTAAAAGAAATTTCTATCTATGGGATCCCAATGTTAATTTTGTTTTTCTCGATATATGTTATTATGTAACAATACATTGGTTTTACAAGTAATAATTAAATATTAGTATTAATATTTTAATTATTAATTAAAGTAAAAATTAATTTATTTAATTATCTTAAATTCTTATATATATAATAAAATGATTATTAAAATTTTAGAAAACTGATTATTATTAAATAATTATAATTATTTTACATATAGGTATCGCATTTTGTATAGTAGTGTATATTATAGCAATGTTATATGAATAGTAAAGTTATTAAAGTTATTAATAGTAAAGTTTTCTCATTATTTATACCTTATTACAATAGCTATAGATATTAGTATAACAATAAAGTTATATAGAAATGAGAAACTAAACTTTCTCAGGGAAATTTATTAGAAACTATTTGCCCATCTCTACTTACATTACATATCAATATTAAAAATTAATTATTAATATAAAAAATGAAAATTAATGGAAAAAATTATTAAATTTTAATTTGATATATAATTTTGATTGCAATTGAAGTCGCAGTATTTACTGTATAACATGTAATGTATAATTTTTATAYATATTATTTTAAAAACATTTTAAAACAATTAAATCAAAATTGCATAAAATAGTTTAATTAAAATACAAAGATTATGTAACAAAAAACAAGAGTTAATCAATAAATTTTTATTATTTATGTCATATAATTTATAACACATTTTTATTATATGTTGGCTTAAGTTTTGTTATCATAACATATCTCAAATTAATCTTCACACTAAGTTAGGTGAATAACATTTTTAATTTATATTTAAATATATTTAATATAATCTTATTTTATTGTATACATTATTCAGTGATTCAAAATAGAAAGTTATTATTATTATTATTATTTTATGATTGATTACATTTTTTAGTAATTTTTGAATATAAATAGGAACATGAAAAACACAATTTTATAGTCTAGTAACTTGCAAATTAAAAAATATAAAATTTTAATATATAATTAGTAATTACAATGAAAATATATTTTATATCCAAAATCATTTGAAATTAACAATAGATTTCTCAACAAAATAATATGTATTATTCATTATTTTGTAAAAATTAATGTCAAAATCCTATTATAAATATATATATTATTCTATAATAASATTTTGACATGTATATTTAGTATGCATATAAATTTTATGTATAAATTAAAATATTTTTTGTTAATATAATAAATTGGATTAATGTTAATCACAATCAACTTAATGTTGAATAAAAACTATTTTTGTCTTTTTGTTTAATTATTTACAACATTTATGTAAATTAGTCATTCATTAGCACAAAATTTTTATTGTTTTTATTATTATTATTATAAAAAACAAATCAATTTAGCACAATTTTTACAAATTAATATAATTTATAGTATATATTTATAATATTAAATGATATGGAATTAATTATAATCAATTCATTTAAATATTAAAATAATCAAAGCTATTGTAAAAGCAATTATTATGAGACCAGTAATAAGCACCAGTAGATTGTCTAAATATATGTGATACTGTAATAAAAATGTTGTCTATCAGTATTTATTATAATTTAAATTATGTTAAATATTTAATATATCAAAAAAAATATTTAAAAAAAATAAATAATATAAAATCCAAAATAAATACTAGCCTTTGATTTTGACAAATGAAAATTTGTTTGAAAAAATGTTTTCAAATGATGTAAAATATGTGCAAAAATATAAAATACTGTAAAACCGATAACAACCCACAAAAATTGTTTTGGTAGTAAACCTTCAAATTTAACTGTCAAACAAAGTGCTGTAACTATTTTTTTTTAATCAAAAACATGTGAAAATTAATTATGATTCTTAAAAATTTGCAATTATTGTGCAGATAATCCATACCCGCCAGTATGTGTCCGATATAACCACCTGACCGGTGAAAGTAATTAAATATCCATCGCTTAGACGAGTCGGGTGGCGGTCGGAATAATGAACCGATTGGTTGTAAAATTGCTAATATAATTGATGTTAAACCAACTATTGGATGTGATTGAAACTATAAATAATATATATCTATTAATATGTATCATATACAGTAATATATAATATAAGTAAAACATTATATATTAATTTTAAACTCATAAAAAACTAAATAAAATATGATTTAATACATACACCGCTCCAACCCTTGACTTTTACAAATATCAAAATCGTTGAAATGATTATTGCAATAACACCTGTTATCATAAGTGCCCGATGAAACTGATGGCAAATAAACAAAAACATATAACTCATACATATGTATGTATTTTTTTACAATATTTACTATATTATGCAAATATTGAAAAATATAAATATAATAGTATAGTATTGATATTTACAGCAAACCATATCTTAACGCCACAGAGTGTAGAGTCAGGCCATGAGCTCTTATAATGACGAGCCATCAGTATAGCTATACTAACACAACAGATCCATCCGATTATCATAAATAGACCTACAATTATAATGATGTCGATAATAAATATTATTAATAATAGCTTTTTAGTAATGAAGTCTAAAAAATATTACCATGAAGTCTGATTAGTATATGAATTGGTGCCGCCGTTAATATACCGATAGTCTGTAGATTAACTGCTTGTGCTGAGGGAAGTCTCAGTCGGTGGGCTTGTATTGTGTCGTCTTTCAATACATTTCAATACATTTCAATATTTATTATATTGTTTTAATTTATTTCAAAATATTTAGAGATAATAATACCATTATTAGTGTTGCCGTTTGCCAGTAATAAAAAATAAGATTTATTTTTGATATCAAACTCATGTCCCTTAACAGAGAATACAGCAGTTCTTCTCCAACGACAAGTCAGTAGTCCTTCTGAATCAGATGAGTACAAAAATGTAAGGCCCGGGTCATCGTCTACTAGTTCAGTATGTTTAGGATTGTCTACATTCCAGCCCTGTTTTAATAGTTGTTTGCCATTATGTCCGGATATACACAGAGTAACGGCATCGTCGCCCATAGATGCGTCTGTAGACAGACCAATGGCCACATACCCACCCGCACCAGTAGATTGTTTATTGTAATATATGTCAAACTCGACGGTCCCATTGGTTGAAGAGATTGAATGACTAGTGATAAGAGCCACACAATTCTTGGATTCTAAACAACCAGACTTTTGGTCAGAACTATAGCCAAAACAAAGTCTCAGTCCTTCTGAGCATTTCTTGTACGCCTCGACTAGTGATGGAAGGGGTGCTTGAGTTGGCTCAGGTGATGGTGTTGTCACTGAACCAAACTTTAGATCCACTGCAGTATCAGAATTGACATGTTTTTTTAAATGATATTTGACTGTTAAATGCGGAACAAAAACATTTAATTAATTTTACAAACAAATAAAAAATAAAAATGATTTACAAATTAATAAAAGTAATACAAATATTTTTCTATATTTATATCATCAAAGATAGGATTGGTATGTATGGGGGAARACATAAGTAATTATGCGCCCAAACAACTGTCAAAATGATTGAAAACTTACCGATAATTTTTGCAAAAAAGTTTTAAGGAAGAAAATACTTATCGATTATACATCTCTAATGTATAAATAATATTTTTTTTATTTATTAAGTGAGGCACAGGTAGGGTAGGCGTATCCATTGATGAATTTTAATATATACATTGAGTATAAAAAAATTCATTGCATTTGTACAGGTACTGTATATTTTGAAAAAACGCTGCTTTGATTATAGCGTAAAATGTATTATATATAAAGATAACTGCACTCCAGTACTCCAGTGATGTGCACCGGTGTTACTGTACTGTAGTGTATGATTGTTGGCATTTTGTGTGCCTTTTAATAAAATAATACAATATTATGATAAACACTGTGAGTTCAAACTCGTTTCATGTACTCTCCGAGAGCACAGTTATACTGTTATAACAAAATATGTAATATAAATATGATATATATTATATACACATATATACGATATATGTTTGTAAGGAAAAGGATCCTATGGGTGCAACTGAACACTACTATTAAATTTGAATTTAATTAACCCAATGAATATATACTGTATGTATGGTTTTAAAATATYTTCTATAAAATATTTACTGTAAWAATGAACTATTAAAAATAAATTTCACATAAAATATTTCATATTTTAGTTAAGCTACATATATAAMACGTGCAAATTTTAATATAAATTATAGTAAAGTAAATTTAAAATTAGTAAAAAAATGTCATCAATGAAAAAAATTGCTAAAACTTACGTTTGTCATTATCATCGATCAGTCCCGCGGCTAATATTATGTAATAATTGTTTTTAATTATATCAAACACAATATCATTGACTTTAGTAACAGAATTTCGGATCCATTTGGCACTTATAATACCATCACTTGATATAACTTTATCCACTTGTTTGATGCCATCAACTGATCCAATGTGTTGATTACTTCTGCCATTATTCCAGCTATTTGTCAGATACGGTGGTTTGTCATTTGACGGCACAATTATCTGAGTAACCGAATCGGAACCCATTATGCTATCACTTGACAAACCCATTGCAAAATAGCGATCATTAGTAGAAAGATTTGCAAATATTTGAAATAATATGCTTTTATCGGTGCCATCACTGCTGTTATATGGCGAGGCTATCAACAATATATTGCAATTATTTTGTTGATCACAATTATCTGGTAAACCCAAACAATAAACTTTTGTTTTCAAACAATTATTATACGGAATTTCATTAGCTTTTAATAATATTATGTTAAATAATATAACAAAAATATTAAAAATAATATTAACTAATAAACCCATAAATTTAATTATATATATATTTCCACAAATAAATATTTAGCAATTATTCTGATGTTATATATTTTATAATAAAGTTTATAATAAAAACAAAGTATTTTACTAAWAATTTTTATTAAATTAATGTAATGTTTTCATTTGGAGGAGGTTTATAAAAATAGATTAATTCGTGATATGTACATAAATATAATAGATTTTATTGACAGTATTGCAAATCATTGTGATATGTTTATTACATTTTATAAGTTAAGTACAAGTACTGAATTTTTATTGTTTTACTACACAGTATATAAATTCAATTGTTTTTAAATGTTTGTTTTAGAAATTAACAAAATAATTTTTTAAATCTAACATATTATTAATTTTAATCTAAATATTAAAATATTATTTAAAAAATCAATGTAAAAAAGTTGGTATATTACAGTATATTAAAATATTTATAGTTATTTAATCAATTATACTGAATAATATTTAATTATTTATGAAAAATAAAGTCAAAATGAGAAAACAATACATTCACGTGTGGTAATCAACAAGTGTTTATCAGATTTTATTGTTTGTAACATTTGTGCCAAAAGTGTAAATACACTGTAATTATATAAGATTAATAAAGTAGTATATACTGTAATAACAATACAATCTAAATATTAAAACTATAATATACTTCTATTATAAAATAATTAAATATAGTTTTGTCACAAAACCATAATTTTTATTAATTTTATTAATTATAATTATAAAAAGTTATAAAATATTATTATATTTTATTATTTTGTATTATTAATGAAATTTTACCATGTTTATTAGATAAGAATTGAATTGTCAAATAAAAATAAATACACTAATTATTGTTTAGTTAAAATACTAAAATATGATTAAACTATTTATTTGTAAAGATAACCAAAAATCTAAAAATCCATAATATTTTTTCAAGTAATCGTTTTGATTTTTCAAGACTTCTATAAAAAATTAAGTTGTTTACTAAACTAAACTATTTTAGTTATTAAATAATACATTTAAATAAAAAATAATATTTAGTTATTTTTATAAGTATTTGAAAATTTTATAAATTAATAAACAATATGATATATGTAAAATAATGTTATTATTAAATTATTAAATATTATAAAAAATATTATATAAGAAACTACAATATAATTATGAAATATTGAATTAATTTGTAATTCTTAGTAGTATTACTAATAAGTATGTAATTAAATAGCATTTTAAAGCATTAATAACACCAATTACAGTATTAATCACATTTATAATAATTATCGTAAATATTATAGTTATCACAAATTTGTGCATTTTATAAATTATCAATGACTTAATGATTATTAATCTGTATTCATAATAATAATAAGACTATTGGCATCACTTTCAGTTATAAAACTGGTATACATAGTAAGTACAGTATTATTGTTATTATTGTTAAATTTGAAAAATGTTAAGTTAAGGATTTGTATAAATATTGTAATAATTTATCATGGTAAAATTTTAAAAATAAGCATAATAATATCTGTAAATGGATTATAATTGTCATATCATATTTTTTTTATTAAAACTATAAATATAAAAAAATAATTTAAAGAATTTTAAACATTTAGTTTATCTAAGGCTTGGCTTAGTTTTTCAATTTAAAAATAATTTCAATTTAATAACTTAATAACAAAATGTATTAATTCTAAGTCAAATTGTTTACAGTAAATAAACTTATAGTAAGTATACTAACATTATATTTTATATAAATATATTATTAAAATTAATAATACTGAAACATTTTTATAATAATAAACAGGAAAATAAATTGTATGGAAATATATTATATTTAATATATCTTTTTTAATAATAGTATCGTTTAATCAGTACTCGCAATCTAATTGTCAAATAGGAGTGCACTCAAAGTTGTTATAAATAGCATTTATTGTTATAATGAAAACTATGTGAAACATCCCATCCATTGATTATATGACTTAATTAAATAATTTACACATTTATCCTATTAAATATATAACATAAAACATATTGTTCTAATAAATTCATAAATAATAATAATATATAATATGATTTATATAACCATAAATATCATTTTAATAATTTAATGAATTTGTGAATAATTAGCACTTTTAATCATAACTGTATTATAAGTTAAGATTATATTTTAAATATAATATTTATTTTTTTGAAGCTTTAAATTTAAGTAAAATCTGATGTGAAATATGTTATTTTGTTATTTTTTGTATCATAAATTATCATATAAACAATAAAATAATAAAAATGTTTATGAATAAAATTTCTTAAATTTTCAATAGTATCTTAGCATTCAATATATTATTTGTAATTATTATTAATTATATATTTTAGAATATAAAAAAATTAAAAGCTGTGCCAAACAATTATTAAAATTTCTTTTATTATTATTATTATTATTACTAAAATACGTATGTTTGGTATACAGTATATATTAATATATATCATATGCCATATGAACCTATCATTAGTCATCATTGAATATAATGGGTGAGTTCAACATATATTCATATACAGTATTCAACATTAAAATTAATTTTTTTTATTTTGTTTTAAAACTTGTAAACAATTTTGTAATGTTATAACTGAATCCGTGACTCCCTTCCTGGTAATTAAGTAACCGTATACTTGACCCCTACACCATAGACTGTCCACAAAAAATTACAAAAAATAGCAATAGTAGTGTGAATAGCATCAAAAAAATGATAATTGACTTTTTATATAATAACTATTTTGACATTTTGATTGTGATTAATTTATTTGTCAGTTATGTTTGCTAAACGATATAAGATAACAACACTTAACCGCATAATAACTGTTTTTTCTTCATTATTTTTACCCTCACTTAAAACACAATAATTGTTTTAATTGTTTTGAATAAATAACTTCAAGTGACTTCAATGAGGATAAAAATTATTTTTTCTTGACAGTAATCTTATTATTATATAATTTTTGTTGACATTAAAAAAATTACTAGTTTTTTATTAGTAATATTTTAATATGACAATAATCACAATAATATGAAGTAAAAAAATAAAGTAATTTTAAACAACTCAAATATAAACTAAAACTTCAATATAATAACAATTTAAATCCTATTATAAACATATTTGAACTTAGATTCAAAAAAATTGAAATAATTTACTACATATTCCACTCTTCCTTATTTAGTGAATGCTATTATTGTTATTAATAGGTATAACAGTATATAAGTTAACTATTATTGTTTGTTATAAAAATCAGGTTTTATTTTTTGTAATATTAAAAATAATATTATCAATAGTTTTTAAAAATATAAGAAACTTTCATAGTAAATTTCTTTCTATTAAAATTTCATAATGAATTAATTGTTAATTATCATAATCTTTTATCATTATATTTTCATTTACATCTTAATTAAGTTTTGTTTTATTAGTAAAAATATTTATAACACAAATTATATTAAATAGTAATGTCAAGCAATATCTTAAAATCATCCCCATATCCGACTCCCAATTAGTCATTTATATTGAATATCTATTAAACCATATTTTATAGATTAAAATGACCAATGTCAAAATTATAGACAATTTTATATTGAATATATTTAACATTGGTCATTTTTTATTTACTTGTATGGTTGACCAGATAATTGCACATCTATTAAGCGGTCTTATTTAGTTAACCTTATAATTAAATAAAAAATTATACAGTATAAATTAGTCTATAAGATTGCCATTATTTGTCATTTTTATATGTAAAATATGGTTTACTAGGTATTCAAATAAATAATTAGTCGGGAGTCTAATGTGGGAATGATATTAAGCTAAAGCAATGTCTAATCTATAAAATTTAGTATTTTTATATAAAAATTTCAAATTAAATAAACAAATTAGTCTCTTTAATTTTTTTTGTTAATATCTCATTATATAAATGTATTCAATACATTGTACGCTATATCTAATATACAGGTATTTAAATTTAAATAAAGTAATTTATACTTTTATTATCGTAAACCAAAGAAATTTTTTCAGAAATTTTTTTAGAAAAATGATATTTTCTTAAAACTATTATTATGTGACTTTAAAATATAATCTCAAAAAAACTTTATAACTTTAATCGCATACCATATGCGGCAAACATGAGTATAGAAAAACACGACAAACATATGGTATGCCTGAAGTGACCATTCAATTGAATAACTGTTTTTTATTTAAAAAGTCATATACTGTAAAATTCTCGAAATTTGAAATTTCTCATAAAATTTAATATTTAAAAAAATATATTATCACAWGTTTGAACTTGTTCTTGATTTTTACTGTATTTGTTTGAAAAATATTTATTAAATATTTCTGATTTTACAAAATATTATGAGAAAGTCTTTATAATTAAATTATATTTTTGGCAACAAATTTTCCACTTTGTTTAACTTACATATAAGGTATATTAGTATAAACAAAATATTAGTGAATAAACTGTAAGTTATAACTAACTGTATTTAAAGTAATAGTATATACAATTTAAAAAGTTTTATATAATTTTTATTAACATTTTATTATTATTAAAAACTAATTATATTGCTGTATATTAAAAATTTTCTTTATTTTTTTAATGGTTTTTGAAATATTAATGGTTTTATTAATTGAAATTTTTTTTATTAAAAAATAAAATTCAATTTTAATAAAATGTTTAATTTTGGAATCAAATTTAAAAATAATTTGATGCGGTTTTGTTGGATTATTATCAATAATATGCTATAAATTATTTATAATCAACAAAATTCAGATTTTTTTAAAAATTAACATTAGATAACAAAGAATTAGTTAAATAAAATGTCAA